TACTGCCTTGTTTCAAGTAAAGATTTGTTCCTGAAATATCTGATAGTTAACTGTTAACTTGTTCTTTCTCCATCTAGCTTTAATTTATTGATCTTGAGGGGCGCAACAACATCAAGTGCTGCTATGAGTTTCAGGTTAAAATGATCGAAAATGAAATCACATGAACAGGGTAAAGCAACTTTCAGGACATCACTTAAAACCTCATTAAAATTAGCAGCCACTTCAAAAGTAAGATAGCGTTTCCTGAAAGTACGCTCTGGGATGACCTGATGGATAAAATCCTTTACATTAAAAAACACACAGAAATGATCATATAAGCCCACATCCACAACAGAGGACACAGTAGCTGATAAACCATAGGTTATTACAAGATCTAAGGCATGTCCTCTGTTGTGGGTGGGCTTTGACACATGCTGGTTGAAATTCATACAATTAATCAGATTTAAAAATTCGGAGCTAAAAGAGTCTGATTGATTGTCCACATGAATATTAAAATCCCCTACAATGATGATGCTGTTGCGTTTTGAACAGATGATGGAGAGCATTTCTGAGAATTCACTAATAAAAGAGGAGCACGTTTTGGGGTGGCCTGTAAACAATTAAACAACATACAGCAGGGCTGTTAAAAACAAAGAAATGATACTCAAATGAAATAAAATCCCCAAATAAAAAATCTAATCGTTAATTAAAAAAGTCTTTTTTAGAAGGTAACGTACGTTTTTAAGTGCCATGTTAAGATTTCTTTCTAATGTTTGTGAGTGATGAGCTGGAAGATGTTGTATTTTTATGTGTTTGAGATTGTTATGATTAGGTCTGGGGTATGATTTTACGGTGTGTTGTCTGCTGCTGGTAATCACAGGAATAGGGAGTCCATGGGTGGAGGAAGATGTTGTTGTGGGTGATGTGCGTGGCTGAGGGGCAGAGACAACAGAGCGGTGGTCAGGGGTGAAATGTAAGGCAGTTTCCTGATGTTGTGGGACAGATCCTGGCTCCTCATAAACAGTTATTGGTGAATAAGGGGAACTAATCTTGCCCTTCGAAGGTTGTGTCACATGACCATTTTTTGACCACTGACGACAAACACTACAGGCCAAAAGTTTGGAAGCAAGGCCATTACAGGCCGAACAGTTGGGAGTCACTTCAAATTTTTGTTCACAATGCTTTTTTTAAAATCCAGCATGAGTTGTATGTATTTTGGGATGTAATTACTCCATGATCAGATGTTGCTTTCATGGAAATGCACCATTTTACTCCATTTACCTTTAGATATACATTGCTAAATATACGTCAGCAAAAGAAAATAAGGGCTTGTTTGCAGGGTCGAAAACATTTGCACATTTAAAGAGTCACAACTTCACTGCAAAAGCAAAAAAACAAATCACAGTTGGATTATTCACTAACTTTTTTGCTTTTGAGAGCCTGCATACAAAAATCCTAATAAATCTCAACTGCATTCAAAATACCACAGAAATGGCTAGAAAGAAGCAGCTGAGTAAAGAAACAAAAGTATAGATTTGTACATTGAGGAAAGAAGGATACACAGAAAGAGAAAATTGCAAAACGCCTAATGGTGTCTAACAAAGGAGTCCACTACACTCTAAGAAGACTAGAGGAACCTGGAAGTTATGATGATAGAAAAAGGCCTGGACGAAAGAGCGTTACTACAAAAGCAGAGGATAAACATAGCATTGTCACCAGTAAGAGAGATTGGCGAAAGATTGCACCAAAAATAAGGAAGGATATCAACATGACAAGGTCGAAACCCATATCTCTGACAACTGTGAAAAGACGTTTGAGAAAGGCTGGTCTGAAGGGTTGTGTATCTGCAAAAAAAACAATACCTCGTCCACAGAACAAGAAAAAGAGATATGAGTGGGCAAAAGCTCACAAAAATTGGACTTATGATGACTAGAAACAAGTTTGCACTGTTTGGTTCAAAACGCAGAGTCTATGTCTGCAGATGAACTGGTGAACGTCTGAAAGCACCATGTGTTACACCCACAATTCAGCAAGAAGGTGGTAGTTCCATGGTATGGGGATGTTTTGCAGGTGATGGAGTAGGAGATTAGTTTGAAGTAAAGAGTATCATGAAGAAGGGACTGTACCACTCCATCCTCCAGCACCATGCTGTTCCATCTGGACTCAGACTTGTGGGTCCCAAGTTTGTTTTGCAGCAAGACAATGACCCTAAGCATTCTGCCAAGCTCTGTCTGGGTTACCTAGACAAAAAAAAAGAGGAAGATGTTCTTCAAAAGATGGTTTGGCCCCCTCAGTCTCCAGACCTTTCTCCAATAGAGCTTGTGCGGGATGAATTGGATCGATCGGTCAGAAAGGCGCATCCCACGAATCGGCAGTATCTTTTTCATGAACTTAAAGCTTGGAATGCAATCCCTGGAACATACCTTAAAAAACTAGTGGAACGAATGCCTCGTATGTGCCAAGCTGTTGTTAAAGCCAGAGGAGGTTACTTTAAAGAAAGCAAAGTCTAAGCAACAATAACTCAAATACCTAATAATTATAGTCAAATTTTTTTCTGATAAGTTACTCTTTACACAATAGTCATGTTTATTGTGTTGCAAAGTATATTAATGAAACTATGATCTTTTTTTGTACAAATCTGATCTTGCTTCCAAACTTTTGGCCTGTAGTGTAGTTGTGATGGCGATGAAAGTAAACAATATGGCACTGGCTGACAAAATTGGCTGAAATCTCACAAACCAGGGTTATATTACTGCGGTACTTTGTTGTGGAATGATCAGCAGTACAGGGACTCCGAAAGGAAACGAGTACTAATGAGTTTTGGTTGGATGATGTAATATGGCAGGCTCCTTTTGTGTCCATGGTGTATCATGTTTCATTTACTTTTTTGAGATACAAACAAAATCAAATAGGATAGTCACTAAACATGTTTTATTTAATATGTTGTCAACTCCATCAACCGCACTCACCTATGACATCCAAATGTGATATTGACATCTGAAACGGGTCAATTTGAATCATGGACCAATTTTGCACGTTGCACAGACGTCTCAATTCAATGGTGGACAGCACATCCAGACTACAAGCTAATGTGGAAGTCAGTTCAACGTCTAAAAGGGGTCCAGATTTGGTTACTACTATGTCTGTCTTGAAGACATTCATCATAACATCGTTATTCTGAGTTTATAGTCACATATTTAAAGATTGAGGCATCAGATCTGGTGAGGGTTCTTGTTTTTCTTCATATTAAAAAAACAAAAACAAAAAACGAACAGCCCATTGACCACTGTCTACAAATTTTAGCTTAATCCAGCATACTTTGTCTGTGAAACAGACAATAGACTTCCATTAAAAACACTTTTTTGACTATGTTTATGGCACCAAAACAACATCGCGCAACCTTTTTTTGAAGTCACTCGATCATCAGAGCTCTAAATTTCACTTTTCCACAGTGATACAACAGATTGTGCCCATACACAATTTTAACCCCTTCGGTGCCGCACACGCAGTGTTTCATCCATGGACTGAGTGTGTTGGATGCGCTACTTCATCCACTAAACACCATCAGAATTAAATGATGCCACTAGATATTGATGTCTAAGAGTGGGCCACATGTGTAAGGAAAGGTTTGTGTGCTCCAATGTGTGTGCATTGGTGCGAATCTGCGCCTATGAATCTGTGTCTATGTTTATAACCAGATGCTCCTCGAGCTGAGTTTTTATAGTCGAAAATGTGACTGTCCAGGTTCTGAAGTGTGGGACTAAGAGAGGGGGACATTTGGACAATTTCAACTTTGCCCTCACTCCATAACAAGTGGATGGACATGCATGAGGAGTCACAGGTCCTTCAGATTAATATTTGAAAATATATCACATCTCAAATAGGTATGCAGGAAATGTATATGCACGTAATCAGCATAAAGGCTATCATGTTTCAGTTAGAGGTGGAAAAGTACTTTAGTAAATTATTCCTATCCTACATTTATCCTCTGATTCTATATGCCTATAGATAAAATCAATTTACCATGAACAAATACATTCGCACTCACATGATTTGGTAGAGGACAAGGCCCGAGAAAAGGGGGTAAAACTGGGGTGTTTTTCAACTCTGATAGACTCAGCTGTTTAGAATGTATGCTTTCTCAATGAATCAAAGTCTTGGTGCACAATAACTGGCATAAAAAGGCTGATACATCACTTTATTTTTATTTTTATTTTGTAATGGTCAGGGCTGATGTTGTTTAAGAGATTTTAGTTCAAAAATGTTTATGCCCGTTTTGGTGACAAACAAGGCTGGATGGAGCTCAAAATTACACGGAACCAAGGATTAGAGTTTTCAAGAAATTTCAGAGGATGAAAGCAGACGGTTATCATCAAACATCTGAACAGTGCAGAATTAAAGTGAAAAAAAAAACACAAAAAAACCCCAAAATAAAACAGAAGTAGGTCCCATCAAAACTGAACTGGACCAGAAAGAGAACCCAATCCTCTTTGAAATAAACTCACAATGTAAACACAAAAAGAACTGAGTTCTTTTGCTTATGGTCCACTTTTTGTTCAACTTAAAGAGGACTGAGTTCAGTTCTTTTAAAAGGGACCAAGTGTAAAAACACCCTTAATCACTCTTTAACCTAAGTGTTTGCACTGAATGTGTACTCTCACCTCTTTCTGATCTGTATGTCAGAGTCAAGGTTATGAGACCGAGGTCTGATTAAGACACCTAGAGTTACCTAACATGCTCACAAGTATACATACATATATAAATATCTATATATCTCTCTATATATATATATAGATATATATATATATGTATATGCTGTCTTACGTAAGAGTCTACACATAGACTATGTTCCAGACCAACAGATGATTCCTGATTGACTGAGAGCAGGTTGGACTCAGCATGAAGACAGTAATGAATGACCTGCTGCTGACCTGTAGTCCTACCTGTCAGCATGTCACCTGTATGTTTCCCACCACCACGTGGACAAAACCCGTATGATTGCAGTATTTAAAGACATGCACTGACAGTCCATTTCAGTCTTGCCTGGCAACAAGGTGAGTGTACAAACAATGCTGCTCTTTTCTCTTTTCACTTCAGCATATAAAATGTGTTCATAAAATTTTATTCCCACAGATGGCACAGATGTGGACTTTGGGTCTGCTCTCCTTCTTAGTCGGAGCGTCAAATGGTAGGTTTAATTTTTTATTCAAATATAAGTGATTTGCTTTTGCTCTTTAATTTGAAGCTGTACATCATTTCATTTGAAAGAGACCACTTTTGGTACAACTCCAAAATTATGGATAGGAATAAAATAAACTGGTTTGCAAATCATGTTGATACCAAGACCAAAAAAAAAACAACAGAGTCATGTTTCCCACCATGTGTCTTCAGCTCTCCTTTCACCAACCCTCTGTAAACCTTAGTGAAACCCAGGGGACCAGTTTCTGGAGTCACAGTCTGGCCTGATAGAGGATTTCAGCTGCTCAACATTTTAGGGTCTACTTTTTCCTGTTTTTGGTGTCTTATTGCTCCAAATGTTTTCAATGGAGGACAAGTCAGGACTGCAGGTAGACCAGTTTCTCAGCAGGACTCTTTTCCTACAGAGCCATGCTGTTGTAATCCCTGTAGTCAGAATGTGGTTTGTCATTGTCTTGCTGAAAAATGAAGATCTTCCCTGAAAAAGTCTTTGTCTGGATGGAAGCAGATGTTACTCCTAAACCTGTAGATATTGTTCAGCATTAATAGAGCCTTCACAGATGTGGAAGATACCCATGACATGGACTCTGATGATCCCCATACCATCAGGGATGCTGGCTTCAGACTGGGAGCTGAGAACAAGCTGGGTGTCAAATTTTAATTAATCGGACCCCAGAACAGTTTTTCTCCTTCCCTCAGTCCATGTTAAATGGACTCAGGTCCAGAGAAGTCTCCGGTGTTCCTGGATCTTGTTTCTATCTGGTCTCCTCTTTGCATGGTTCAGTTTTAACCTCATTTGTGGATGCAATGATTTCCACTCCAAAGTCCTGTCTGTCTTTAATTTAGTGCTTCCTGAGTGCCTGAAGATCAGGACCATCCAGTCTTTGTTTTGGTCCTTGTCCCTTTAGTACAGAGATTTCTCCAGATTCTCCGGACAGATTCTATTATGTTCTGTACATGATTCAATCCACTCATTCTTTTACACTCAGAAACATTATTCCGAAACTGTTGAACTATTAGCTCACACAGTCTCTCACAGGGTGGTGAACCTCTTCCATCTTTCCTTCTGACAGACTCAGTCTCTGGATGTCCTTTTTATACCCAGTCATGTTATTAACCTGTTGGAAATTCACCTCATTAGTTAAAAACATTCCTTCAGCTGTTTTTTTTTTTTTTTTTTTTTTTTAATATTACACAACTTTTGACCTGTTTGGTTGTTCCTCTAACATATTTTGCCCTGTTTGGTTGTTACCCTACAACAACTTTTGACCTGTTTGGTTGTTACTCTACAACAACTTTTGACCTGTTTGGTTGCATTTGAACAAAAACGAAAATATATCATATTAGAATTATTCAATTTTATATTTTACTGACTAATCCACTTGATGTTTTAGTTTTTACCGATACTTCTAATAGTAATGCATCAGATTTCATACAGCTTTTCATCAGAGACCTTCAAAGCACTTTATATTGGATACATTATTTATTCGCTCACACACACAGTTAGTGCTGGGCGATAGGACGATAAATATCGTGGGCACGATAGAAAATGTCTATCGTGCCATTTTTATTTTTATCGTTTCGGGCGATAGGCTGTATTTTATCCATAGGGCTTGTGCCATCAGATGATTCATAGTAACAACAACAATAATTGCACATTCAGTAACTGTATTTGGTGTCGAACGGGAAAGAAAACAATATTTTCTTACAAAGAAAAGGATGCGTTGACATGTAGGCTCGCGTTTCTCTTTCGATTTTGCGACATGACGCCGCTTTACGTGCCCTCTTCGTGTCCAGCGTCTCCTGCCGTTGCGGGTTACCTGAGTTACACACGTGAGGGGATCATTGTAAGCAGTGCTTAATTTGTGCCGGAGCAAGTCGGAGCGCGATCCGGGACCTCTTTTGATCGGATCCGGGACCTCTTTTGATCGGATCCGGGACCTATTTCAGCCGTTCCGGCACCTGTTTCATCTGCTCCGGGACCTTCCCTGTAGAGGATGACATTTTTCGGGAATTCCCGTGGGTCACGTGATTCCCGCGGGAATCCCACGGGATGGGAATCATTTTTTAATTAATCCCTTGATCGGGACGGGATAGGAAAAAAAACAACGGGAGTGGGCAGGAGCGGGAACAACATTAAAAGATGATCATTTTCAGCCGTGTTTAACAACCAGATGAACAGGTGCGTCCATTTTTGTAGTCATCTCTCAGTGAGAGCCAACACTCTTGACCGCGCTAGCAACACAAAAGAACTACAACAGTGGTTTGACTTCCTGTCAGCTGGGAGCGCGGCTGCGCATTTGTACCCTTCAAGCCAGCTGCGAGGAAACGTAATTTTGTGACATTCTGTAGTTTTTCAATCATTTCTGGAGTCGTGGCGAATCAAATCACCTTACCTGTCTGCCCCTGATAGGCGAATAAAGCGCTCGGATTCATGCTCGGGTCTTGCTACGTGCTTCAAGATTAAAGTAAACAATGATGGAGGCAGAGAGCAGCTTTGGAGGAGAAACATCTAGCAGTGTGAACAACCTCTTCAAAAGAGCCCTAAAGACCTACCTTTTTAATAAAGCCTTAGGTTAGCTTTCCTTTATGCTTTTACTACCTTGCCTCTTACATTGCAACTCTATATTCTTTATTTTTTTTTATTCTTTTATGCTTTTTTTATGCCAATCTGTAACTGTCATTCTATTGCTTTTTTTATTGTTGCTGCTCTTTTTTTACTGTGTACTGTAGCACTTTGAGATTTTTTGTAAATGTAAAGTGCATTACAAATTAAATTTATTATTATTATTATTATTATTATTATTATTATTATGGAGTGCTTTGGCTCACACTATTGGCGTTTTCTGTGAGTGTTGCATAACTTTGGGTGAGCACAGACATGAACGCACTTCAGCCACGTATTTATTTATTCATTTTTCTAGTTTTAAGTGCTGGTCTTGTACTGGTACTGTACTAGTGCAGCTGTATACACTTAAATTTTTCATAGAACTGAAAGCATACCATAGCTATATCGTGATATATATCGTTATCGTGATATAAAATGATCCATATCGTGATATACATTTTTTTCCATATCGCCCAGCACTACACACAGTCACACCCTGGTGGTGGTAAACTACCCAGGTAGTCACAGCTGTTCTGGGGCAGACTGACGGAAATGTGGCTGCCAATACCCACTCATGGCCTCTCTGACCACCACTAAACATCACTCACAATAATACACCAGTGGAGGACACACACTGAGAGCATCATTTGATACAATCCATTAGATTTTTGATTCTATCAACCTTTGACATGTGTCCTAACCCCATTTTAACGTTTAACATTTGCAGAACATCCTAATGCCATTAATCCTTACAAAAGACATGTTGATACATGAACTGATTAAATAAGGACTGTCTCCTCTCAAGCTGTCCAATCAAACCCCCTGCAAATCTGTGTAAAGAATGCTAAATATCGTCACCCTATTACAATAATGGCCAAAGCCATTTTTTTGATGAAAATTAGTTTTTGCCTTGAATCATCTCTTGATAATGCTGGCCATCTCTGGTAAAATCACCTAAATCCTTACTTGAAAGGATCATGCCATGATTCTAAAACCACCTAAATCCTTAGTTGAAAGTATCATGCCATGAAATGCCATTAAAGGGATCATGCCATGATCCTTTCAACTAAAGATTTAGGTGATTTTACCAGAGATGGCCAGCATTGTCAAGAGATGATTTAGGCCAAAAGCTCATTTTCGTCAAAAATGACTTAGGCCCTTTTTAAATTGGGGGGTGATATGAAATATGAACTTGCTTTATGATATCATAACTGCTCAATTATCATCATGTTGGTCACGAAAATAGACACTGTGGGAGTTAATCTTGGTGTTTCTTTCATACAGCGGCTCAGGTCTGCTATGATGAGGTGGGCTGCTTTGATGACCTTCCTCCATGGGGGGGTACCACTGAGAGACCAGTCTCCATACTGCCACAGGACCCCCAGCAAATTGGCACCCGCTTCCTCCTGTTCACCCAGAGGAACCGTTATTACCAGGTAAGAAGAGGGTTTGCTTGTCTCTGTCATCAGAGATGTTTTCATCAACACTGATAAGATCTGATCATTGACTCATTTTGGAGTTCAAATCAAACACGTCCTAACTATAACTAGAGTTACTTTCACTCAACACTTTGACATATTATAAAGTGTGGGTATTACAAAGTGTTTATCACTGTGTCGATGGAGCTGTTTGAATGTTGTAATACTGCTGATGTTTTGACCACAGGGAGGTCATAGAAATAGATTGAACTGGTGTCCCGTAATTTCAGACCAAACTTGTGGTCTAACATCTGTTTATGTCTCTAAATAAAAGATCTAATTCTGGTGATTCTTCACTTTTAAGTCATCTATGGTTTTGATTTGAACCTCAAATCTTTTAAAAGGTGGCCATGTAGATTCTCATTCATCCAGGTCATGGTTTTCCTGAAATCTCCAAAATCAGGCAACTGGACTGTGTAGAGTTGAGAAGACGTTTCGCCTCTTATCCAAGAAGCTTCTTCAGTTCTAAATATTGCTAGTGTGAGGAGCAGATATTTATCTTACTGGAGAAGGGGACAGACAACGACTGGGAGGAGTTGGAAAGAATGGGTCGTAGAAACCCATCTCCGGGTGTTCCCCTACAAGGGTCATTAACCTGAAAGGGTCGTTAACGAATAATAATAAAAATAATAATAATAATAATAATAATAATAACTTAGTTTCATATAGCGCCTTTCAAGTAACCCAAGGTTGCTTGGGTGTTGCCACCACTTTGCATGTGTGAGGACCCTGGCAGCCGAGTTTTGGACACGCTGAAGTCTGTCCAGTGCTTTGGTGGGAAGACCAAAAAGGACACCGTTGCAGTAGTTTAGACGGGAGGAGATGAAAGCATGGATCAGAGTCTCTGCAACAAAGTCTGACAGTGAGGGCCAGAGCCTGCAGATGTTTTTGAGGTGGAAGAAGACGGATTTGATGGTGTTACTGATGTGGGCTTGGAGTGAGAGGTTACAGTCCAGGATAACACCCAAGTTGCACACTTCTCGGGAAGGCCTGATGGTACAGCCATTGACATTCAGAAGAATATCACCAACTTCCTTGGACAGAGATGGAGGGGCCACCACCATGAGCTCTATTTTATTGTTGTTCAGTTTGAGTAGGTTGGTGGCCATCCATGTCTTTATTTCGTGTAGGCAGTGAACTAGTGATAGGGGAGGGAGATGGGCAGAAGGTTTGGTGCTAGTGTAGAGCTGGGTGTCGTCAGCATAGCAATGGAAACTAAGTCCATGTTGTCGGATGATCTGGCCAAGAGGGAGCATATAGATGTTGAACAGCAGGGGGCCAAGCACTGAGCCTTGGGGCACGCCGTGGTTGACTGGAGCTGGGGTTGAGTTAGAGCCCTTGATAGTGATGTATTGTGTCCTACTGGAGAGGTAGGAGTGAAACCAGGAGAGAGTGGAGTCAGAGAGGCCTAAGTGTTCATGGAGACGGTGAAGCAGGATGGTATGGGAGACTGTGTCAAAAGCTGCAGATAGGTCCAGGAGGATGAGGAGACTGATGAGGCCATTGTCTGCAGCTATGAGGAGGTCGTTCAGGTCGTTCGTTCCACGAAGGTGGATATGTGTGACCTAAAGGTTTAGGAGATCTTGTGAAAGACTGTAAAATTTGATATTTCTCAATGTAGATGAAGTTGACTAAAGTCTTAACTTTAAACCCTGATGAACTTGTCATGACCTTTACTGTGGGCCAGATCAGCTGTGATTGATTAACTTGACAAACTTAAACTACATTTTAGGGAACTCTGTGTTCAACTCATGCGGCTGCTACAGCCCATCAGCCCCAGGGTCAATCTCAGATCAGCACGGTGATCCCCATTCTGATTGTCAATGAGCACAATGACAGTAGATACAACTGAGCACCCTTTAACAGCCATGTTAAAGGGTGAGGGTGAATTACTTTAAACTCCTAATACAAACTGTAAATGATAGAACTTTATCAGTCATTCCATGAATATGTGAGTGTTCTGTTTTAGAAGAAGAGGAAACCATGCTCTCACTTTCCTTTTTCCTGAACTTCTTAGGAGATCAAGGCTGACAAAACCATTGATGCTTCAAACTACAGCGGGTCCAGAAAGACTCGATTCATCATCCCCGGGTATTTAGAGAAAGGAGAGGAAGACTGGCCTCAGGAGATGTGTAAGGTATGAAAGTTGTCACAAAAGTACATAAGTGTGAGGGAGGCTGGGCCCACAGGTCTGGCACCTGTTTAGAAGCTCTCAGTTTTCTCAGTTTTCTTTCTCTGTTCCCTGCAGGGGGCAGGGAAATGATACAGTGTCCAGATAATCTGACCTCATAGATCTCGGGCTTCAATATCAACTCGAACATCTGTTTTGAGAGTGTGGGATATGTAACACTCTGGGTTTAGAGAGTAAAATGTGTTTGTTTTATGTTGGGCTGGACTCATTCTGATAAATCTGTTTTCTGTGTCCAGGTGATGGTGTCGTGGGAGAACGTGAACTGTGTTGCTGTGGCATGGACGAAAGGTGTGAAGACTCAGTACGCACAGGCTGCGAACAATGCCAGGGTGGTGGCTGTGCAGGTGGCAAACATGATCTCTTTCCTCATGGTGAGACCTGCAGGCTCTACTTAACTCATGAGAGGAGAGCACACGCCCCTGTTACTGAGTATATTTCCCCTTTTTGTGAGACTTTGTGATTTTCCCACTCCCAAACAGCTGAGTAACCACAGAGGCCAAAAACAAATCCAGAGTAGCAAGAGGTCAAAGGTGTACAGATGTATCCAGCTGCAGCCAGAGATAAAGGGCTCTATTTTCGTGCGCGCCGGTGAGGCGGCGGAGGGCGGCGAGCCCCGCGCAGTTGTATTTTCGGCTGGCGGAGCCCGGCGTAAGGCCAGTTTGGTATTTTCGTGGACTGAGCCGCACCGAGGCGAGCCGAGATCCACCAAGCTGGGCGTGGTGGCGTGGCAGGGGGAGGTGTCGACAGAATCAGCAGGCGCAGTGACATTTTCGTGCTCGCCACCGGCGTGTAAAGTGCACTGAAAGCTCGCCGATTCAAACCTGGTCAGCTTTCAGCGCATGGCGGAGCGCAGCTGGTCTTGTGGTATTTTGGTAGACCTGCGGCTTATCGACATACGTCACTGATGCCTCACCGGCAGGTTTCCACAGTGTCAGGCACATTTCAGTGCAATAAATAATCATCATCAACTAATAATCTGAGTCAGCACATACATTTAGATCTATATAGATATATTCTGATCTATATGTGATCTGATGAGCGCGTTTGGCACGCGTTTGCACACACAACCTGACCGAATCAACACAGCTGAAACCACATCAAATTAAATTAAATATCTAGTAAATAAACACACATGATGAAGTTAACAAGAAATGTAATTCGTCTCCCTCCTTTTCTTTCTTCCTCTTCCTCTTATTTCTCGCAGAGCTCGACCTGGACACGTCTCCGTGTCCTCTGTCCGTCTTGCTGCTGCTGCGGCTGAACAGATGACTTGTTTCAGTGCTCAGATGCGTTATCTACTTTAAGCCGACATACGGATATTATAATATTCAGTTTTGTGGGCCAAATTTATTTTATATGCCAACATCTATGAAAGAAAGAGCCAGGCCACGGAGCGGGATGCGTCATTTACGCACAGATGGTTCCGATTTTAATGCCATTTTTGGAGTTTATGTTGTGATCTGTGCGCTCAACCCACCTTTGTCACGTGAGGTTTGAATATGTGCAACTTTATGTGAGTGTCTTTATTTGTGGAAAAAGGTGTTTGTCTTACCACTGGGTCCAACATTACACACACCAAATCCATCTGTGCTCATATGAGAGAGTGTGGAGGACACTTGTTGAGGAGCTGCCCTCTGTCGCCATCTTGTGGCATTACTGTCTTAAGACATCTCTTGATCTCTTTGACTACTTCATGAAAATAGTAATACGCCTCGCCTGTGGCGGATTTAAAGGCAAGGAGAGGAGCTTATGTGATTGGTGAAAACAGGTCTCGGCTGTGTTAAACCCACTCCACACCCTCTCTCCTCCCCGTCTACGACTTATGCTGCTGGGAGGAGCTGAGTTAGGGAGGCGGGATACTTACGCCCGGCTGCGCGGCTCACCAAAATACCAAAATGTGCTTGGGAATGCCTTGTCAGCGCGGCGGATCTGACTGACGCTGCGCTTGCGGCACGTCTCCGGCGAGGCACGAAAATAGAGCCCAATGTGTACAGACACCTGGCTAGGTTGAAGGGCTTGCTTTGACATATGTGTTTTTTATGTCACAGGGCAAATACAGACAGAAAGCTGAGAAGTTTCACATCATTGGTCATGGTGTTGGAGCTCACGCTGCAGGAGACGCCGGCAGCAGAATCAGTGGCCTGGCACGGATCACAGGTACACTGGACAAACACTCTCACAGTCTGTTAGTCCTGATTCTACAAGATAGTCTGTATTTAAAAAGATAAGGCAGTGCTCACTGAGAGTTAATTATACATTTTTAGGACTTTTACAGGAGCTTCTTTACGTACAAACAAACTTCCTGTAACCTGAAAGGTAGCAGGAGGTAATACACACACTATGTTGGAGCAGGCTGATGAATAAATAGCCACAGCCGAAAGAAGTCCTGAAGACTGTTCAATGCTACAGGAAGTTGGTGATTTCATTTTAAGTGTTATTTTTAAACTGCTGATTTGCTGTGAGGGTTAATCTTAAATTTATCTCTCACCAACTGAATGTACAGGATATTAAGCATGCATCCAGGAGAAAAAGTGCTCCTTAATGGGCTTCACATGACCTCACACAGCGTTCACAGCGCTATCTTTAGGACCCACCTCTGCCCAACTTTTAAGAGATGTTGGAGTATATTCAGATTATATATTAGAGTAACTTATAAAAGTATATTTGGGTTATACATTATAGTATATTAGGGTTACAGAGGGACATTCCCACATCATGTGTTTATAAAATCCTATTGTGTTGAGTTGGCACATGTAACAGTTTTGACTTGATAGGTGACAGGTGTATAATAGAGTCTGTGACACACTAAAGTGAATGAGCTGGTGATTTGGATTTTTGGAGGCAAGAAAGATTTTCTCCCACACATTGTTCCAAGAGATGTCGTCATCCCTCTGACTGAAGTCTCTCAGCCATGCTCTGATCACCGGTAGAGTCTCTTGTTGTCTGGATAGTTTGGAGTAGACCTTCGATACAAAGCCCCTACAGGGAAGGGAGTTTATCCAATTTATCAGAGGATGCATGGGAAGCTTAGCCCTCAGTGGCACACAATGTGCTTTAAGTACTGCTTTTATTTGCAAATAATAATAAAAAAGAAGAGTCCTGTGGATCAAAACGTTTCTTCAAATCCTGGTAGCTAAGCGTGCCATTGCAATCATACAGGTCCCCAATAACATTAATACCTTTCAAAGACCACGGTTTAAAGTCCGGTGGCTTATTTCCAATCTGTACATTCATGTTGTGCCACAGAAGGGTATCATCGAGTCTCTCAACGATCCTGAAATTTCTAATTGCGTTGGTAATAATGGCGCCATAGTGCAACATACAGTATATATCTTTTATGCCAGAAAAAAAATATCCTCTAATCTCCTCGGATGAACTAGGTTGTTCTCTAAAGATTTCCATGAGACACATAAGCGACCGTCAAGCCAAACCATGACAGGACGTAGCTGGAAGGATTGGTGGTAAACTTTGAAATTTGGGAGGGTGAGCCCGCCCTGATCTTTGGGTCTCTGTAGCACATAAAGCTTCACTTTTGGATGGCCATTATTCCAAATATATCCACATAACAATTTAGCTGTCAGACGACGTGTATAAATCCGTGTTCTAAAGGTTTTATTTATTTCTGCTGGATTAGAAACCAGGCCTTTAGTAGGGTGGTGTATTGAATCGATGGACGCTTTTGATTCACACTGTTTTAATGTTAGGGCCAGAAGCCTGCTGGGCTTACTTCCGTTGCAATAGTAATTTTGCCTAGTTCTATTTGTAATGAATTCTGCTCGTTTGCATAATAAATTATTCAGCTCTTGTCTAACGACCTGCAACTCGTCACTTACTGTGTCAGAAAAGATCTGCTTAAGAGCCCTCTCCAGGCATAAGCATTTCTCCTCTAACTCCTTAATCTTAAGATTCCTAACCTTTTTCACATGCGATGCGTACGGCGTTGTAAAACACGGATAAAACCCTTTGTCACCATCCACATTAACCTAGCGTTATCAACAGAGCCTATATTGTCCTGAAGAAATGTGGACAGTTTGGTTCTAAATTCAGAGACAAATGCAGTGTCATTTAAAAGAGAGGTGTTGAAACGCCATCTCTGAGATTTTTTGGAATTGAAACTTTGATCAGTACTGAGAACTAATGGGTTGTGATCAGCCAGTGTGGCTGGGAGAAATTTAACAGGTGTAACACAATCCTTTAAACCACATGACAGGAGAAATAATCAGTCCTTGAGTATGACTTATGATATGTAGAGAAACAAGTGTAATCTCTCCTACCGGGGTTTTGAAATCACCAAACATCAAAAAGGTTCAAGTCATTTATTATTGTATTCAAAGCCGTAGAGGCTGATTGCTGACTATGTGTAAATGAGCTTGTAGATCTGTTTAAATCAGACCTGGGCATTTCATGGCCCAAGGGCCACATCCAGTCCTTTGGATGTCCCTGCCTGGCCCTTTTTGAGGTCTGTCAATCATCAAGTGTGTTCCTTTTATTTTGAAAACCTGGCTGTTGTTTTATTTACATTTGGACACGTGCTTACATCCTAGGCCTGCATTCATGAACAGAGACAAGTTTAAACATCTGCAAAATATATGTGATGCCTCATAGTTGCCAAGTCCGCTTTTTATAAACGACTTTGGGCTAGTTTTTCTCAGAAGTCGCTTGTAAAACTTGTGAGTTGCGGATGCGCTTTTTTGGGCTTGTTTTTAACTATTAGTTGCTTATTTGGGCTTTCTTTTCTGTCTGTGTGAATCCTCCTTGATTATCTCACAGCTTTCCACAAAAGCAAAGCAAAACGCGAGTGCAGTAGGTAGTTTGTCTTTTCCAGACCACCGTTTCCTGAATCGTGCCGGCTCGAGTACTCGGCACACCCCCCTAACACACTCACATGGCGCATCATCCTCATGTACGCCAGAGCCCAAAATGACAGAGAAATAAGCGAGAAGAGAGAGTAAGAATGAGTGGCAGTAAGTGGCAAAATATATAAAAAAGAAAAAACAAATTTCAACCTAAACCCTTTTCTGTTAATCAAAGTTTAAAAAGTTATTCAAAGTTTTTATGTTAACTGTGTGTATCATAATTTTGCCTTTGTGAATGCATAATGTTTTAAGAAATATACAGGGTTTCCCTTACATGTAATTAATCGTGGTGCTACCTGGGACTCAGTATGTTTCAGCATATGCAGTGCACATGGGCGATGCACTGTGGGATTTGCCCCCCCATTAAGGTGGGTAGGAATGCCCAACCATATTAATCATAACTCACTGAATTTCTGCCTGATTTTCACATGATTTGGTTTGTTACAAACAGCAGAGGTGTAGCTAAAATACAGGATACTGTCACATGAAAAATAACTAAAAGTATTTTTCAATCTTACTTGTGAAATGTAATCCTACATGGTCGCGTTTTAATAATGAGTCGTTTTTTGTAGAGTGCACATATATGGTCTTGTGCGAGCCTGAAGGGAGGCCCATCCAATATGGCAGCAACGCTGGATTACACTCCAGAAAGTAATGAGATGTTTAAGTAGGTAATGTCTGTGGGTTTAAATTACTGCTTTTTACAATGGGAGATAATGAAAATTAAGCAGAAACAGGTTGAAGTAATTGTTAATTCGGCCCTCCAACACAGTTCAGGTTTCTTCCTCCAAGAACTATTTCATACTCTGTGAGTTTCAGTAATTACTCTGTGAGGTCAGGATAGAAATTATCTCTAAAGAGTGCTGGTCTATATACTGATATAAATGCAACTGTAAATTGATGTACACACATATGCTACTCACCGTAATTTATTGTTACTAGTCCCTTCAATTTTCACAGGTAAATTCCTCTTGAACATAATCATTACTCCTTCCGAGCTAGACCTACTGCTGAAGGAGGATACCACCATATATTGTTTATTCCATCCCCTTGTTTTAAGTGGGGTTCCTGAATTAGCACTATGTCTGCATTTGCTTGACGCATCAATTCTTGACATTTAACCCTCTTGATATTGACGTTCAAGCCCTGAATGGTAAAACTGACTCAGAATAGTCAGTTTAACCATAATCAAAAATCACTGTGGTTATATTCCAGTGATTCAACTGACTGTAAACCAAGTATCCAAGCATATGGTCCAGTGAGAGACCCACACCCACCCCATTGCTGCCATGCCCATACCCCAAAACCTATGTTTCTGTGTAACTTGACCACTGCATAACACAGCTCATTGAGACTCCAAAACTCAGTTGTATCCCACTTATAAACATAACTGACCTGGCAGGAATATAAGCAGTTGAAACATAATTGTGAGGCCCACTATTAACAGACCCAGGCTACATGAAAAATAACTGACATTGTCCCTCTAATAGGCTTCGTTCCACTTCAGTGGGGCAACATAAACTGTGATTCATAAAATAGCTCTATTGATAGTAAGTACTAAAAAAAAATATCTACTCATGCCATCCTGTCGATTTTCAGTAATCAGTGTTTCGGTGTCGAACTATTTCCTTTCTGCGGCGTAGTGATACTTATACACGCGCAATCGAATATGCAGAGGGGTGAAGCGAGTTTTGTCACGTAGACCAATAGGAGCCGAGTCTCGTTGCCATAGTATCAGAAATACACAAACATGGCGACGAGCTCATCTAGCAGCGAGACAAGCGAAGAGGAAGAAAATAAAAATAAAAAAAGAAATCAGCCTTCAAAAGTGCATAAAAAAGGAATGAAACAATGCTATATGCATCTATCATCTGTCCAGAGTGAAGACGTTCTCGACTTTACAAGAATACGTTGGTAAAATTACAGAACTAGTATTAGAAAGTGACTTTCTCTACAGGGTGAGACAAAGGACCTTGCAGAAACATATAAACATTGCGTTGATATCGACTTTGACAATGTTCCTGATGACGCTGGGTTTCACATGACATGCTACCAGCGTTTTATTTGCAAAAGGCGTTTGAGAAACAATAACGTGATGCAGCCGTGAGTCAGTCAAACCCTTCAGCCATCATCGATGCATCCACGTCCACGGCATCTGAAACTCCACAAAAGAAACTTCGCTCGAGGTCATAGGCTGTATTGGGACAAAGGAAAAAGTGCCTAGAAAGTGAATTTTCGTTCAACTACGCTAGTGCTGCATTTTTGCATAGAGAATACCATTCTGGACTTTGGGTTAAAATATCTACTCAGACTATCTGTCTGACTTTTGTCACCAGCCAGAAATGTACATACTGTATATGTGAGTAACCCAAAAACAATTATATGGTGCTGCTGTTTTTGCTTGTAAAAACTGCTACGTTGATTCTGGCAAGACAAAATCTCTCTCAAATGTCATAAATATATCTACCTAACATCTGAAACAGTTATTGGTGCCTTAGTATATGCATAAGTGAATTCAGATTATGAAATGTAGCAAATTTCTTGAAGAAAACGTCTCAACTCAAGTGATTCGCACCCAGCACAATGAAATATATACAGTAAATTTAGCTATAAGCTGAAGTTTCATACATAAAAATGACACAATCTACTGTGTAATAAAAGCAATAAAATATAAACAGCACGTCATGGCCATAAACCGCTGAAAGTCAATCAAATTGCCACCAAGCCCCCCAAAATTGGAATAATGGAAAAAATGTAACAAGACAAAAATAAATGCACAAAAGTTATGAATTAATTCAAAATATGGTATAAAACATTTATTCAAGTATCACAGTGTCAAAACATCTGACATTTATCAGTCTCTCCAGAATATGAAAATAAAGATCAAAACACAAACGCAGACAAATGTAGATCAAATATAAAAATAATAAAAATCTCAAATCTCGATGTAGCAATCCTTTAAACAAAACAAATTATACATGGTGACATGGTGCGTATATTACGCATCACTATTACTTTGATCAGAGTCATCATCCCATACAGCTTTCTTCTGTTTCCTTTGAAGCATTCTCACATGCTTGGCACCGACATAAATCTGTACAAGATAGTCTTGGAATATAACTTTTTGGCTTTTGAGAGTCTGCATACAAAAATCTCATTAAATCTCAAATGCAATCAAACTTCTGCAAAAATGGCTAGAAAGAAGCAACTGAGTAAAGAAACAAAAGTACAGATTTGTACATTGAGGAAAGAAGGATACGCAGAAAGAGAAATTGCAAAACGCCTAAAGGTGTTTAACAAAGGAGTCCACTACACTCTGAAGAGACTGGAGGAACCTGGAAGTTATGATGATAGAAAAAGAAAAGACGAAAGAGAGTTACTACAAAAGCAGAGGATAAACGCAGCATTGTCACCAGTAAGAGAGATCGGCGAAAGACAGCACCACAAATAAGGGAGGAAATCAACATGACAAGGTCGAAACCCATATCTCTGACAACTGTGAAATGACGTTTGAGAAAGGCTGGTCTGAAGGGTTGTGTACCTGCAAAAAAACACTACTTCGTCCACAGAACTAGAAAAAGAGATATGAGTGGGCAAAAGCTCACAAAAATTGGACTGATGATGACTCGAAGGTGTTTGCACTGTTTGGTTCAAAACGCAGAGTCTATGTCCGCAGACAAACTGGTGAACGTCTGAAAGCACCGTGTGTTACACCCACAATTCAGCATGGAGGTGGTAGTTCCATGGTATGGGGATATTTTGCAGGTGATGGAGTAGGAAATTTGTTTGAAGTAACGTGTATCATGAAGAAGGAACAGTACCACTCCATCCTCCAGCACCATGCTGTTCATCTGGACTCAGACTTGTGGCTCATAAGTTTGTTTTGCAGCAAGACAATGACCCTAAGCATTTTGCCAAGCTCTGTCAGGGTTACCTAGACAAAAAAAAAGAGGAAGGTGTTCTTCAAAAGATGGTTTGGCCCCCTCAGTCCCCAGACCTTTCTCAATTGAGCTTGTGCGGGATGAATTGGATCGATCGGTCTGAAAAACGCGGCCCGCGAATCAGAAGTCTCTTTTTAATGAACTTAAGAAAGCTTGGAATGCAATCTGTGGAACATACCTTAAAAAACTTGTGGAACGAATGCCTGGTATATGCCAAGCTGTTGTTAAAGCCAGAGGAGGTTACTTTAAAGAAAGCAAAGTCCAAGCAACAATAACTCCACAAGGGGGGGGGGACTGTAGAGGATGAAAGGTAGTGCCGAAGAGGTGGGTTTTGAGAAGGGTCTTGAACCTGGTAAGGTCGGTGCAGTTTCTGAGGTCCAGTGGGAGTGAGTTCCAGAGGGTTGGGGCGGCGACTGAGAAGGCTCTGTCCCCCCAGGTATATGAAACTATGATCTTTTTTTGTACAAATCTGATCTTGCTTCCAAACTTTTGGCCTGTAGTGTATATATGAGAATTTGAAAGTTAAATATTAGAGTATATCAGAGGTATGTATTAGAGAATATTGGGTTGCATATTAGAGTATTTTTAGGGTTATATATTAGAGTATTTTAGGGTTATATGGTGGAGTATTTTAGGGTTATATATAAGAGTATATTAGGGTTATATATTGGAGCATATTAGGGTTACATATACCAGTTAATTAGGGTCATATATAAGTGTATAAAATATAAGAGTATAGGATGGATATGTATTAGAGAATATTTTGGTTACTAGGTTACTTTGGTTATTAGAGTTTATTAGGGTTATATATTAAACTATATTAGAGTTATATATTACAGTACATTATGGTTATTTATTAGGTTATGTAAGTGTTTTATATTCCAGTATATAAGGGTTATTCATGGATAGATGGACGTACAGACAGACAGACAGAGAGAGAGACAGAGAGAGATAGATTAAAAGAGTGATCTAAAACTGATTACTCTCATCTCTGTGTTTCTGCAGGACTGGACCCAACTGAACCATACTTTGTGGACACTAACGCCTCAGTGCGTCTGGACACCACTGATGCTCTTTTTGTGGACGTCATTCATACAGACAGCCTTCCCTTTTCTTCCAAACTTGGTGTGTATCAGAGTTTACCACAATGAATAAGATCACACTGGAATATATTAGTAACTGTATTCAAGCACTTCCCGAACTAGTCCAAGTTTATTGGTAGCTGTGCTGCAGCCTTAAGTAAAGAATCTCTGGAGTCCTTGTCTTCATTTGTTTAAATATGAGAACTTTCTGGAATGGTTTCTGGAAAAAAACTTGATCTCTGTTTCCTCTTAGGTCTGGGGATGCCACAGCCTGTGGGCCACGTCGACTTCTACCCAAATGGAGGAGAGCTGATGCCAGGCTGCTCCTCCAACAGAGGCAGTCCCACTGACCTGGATGCCATCTGGCAGGGTGAGAAAAACTGCAACACACAAACACTTTAAGATTGAGCAGAAATGTCATCTTCACAAATATGATTTTAATTAGGTTACATGTTTTTCTGTCAGAAGATACAGACCTTTGTTCTTCTCACTTTTTGCTGTTTATCATGCCCATGTAAATACTTCATCACTGGCATTTTTTCTTGGATGTTTTTTGAAAACATCACATCTCAGTCACACAGGAAAGTGGGGAGAAAATTAAAACTGGTACAGTGGTGACTTCATATAAAAATTGGGGCTGATTAACAGTTTAGCTGGTTCAGGTACACCTTCTTTTATTTTGTTGTCATAAACCCTTACATCTAGGTCATGTACCATTCCCGTTAGCTAAGACTGTAGGAGAAAAATTATACTTTTGCTAAAAATAACTAACTCACCAACTTAGTAAGAAGACATCTTCAGTTCCTGCTCTGCAGAACAGAAACCCCCAAAAAATCAAAATAGACTGCTTTGTAACAAAAGGATTATATAAACAATGAATAATTACAAACTAAGTCAGGGTGATCATTCAGCCCTCTTTTTATGTCTGAGGCCTAATAATTACTGTCAGACTAAACAGGAGGCTTTCTACTTTGCCACTTCTGAATTTGTACAATTGACAACAGACAAGTACCAGTGACTGTGATCAGTTAATTCCAGCTTTAATTCATATCCTTCAACAAGCCCAATACTGGCTCATACTGACCCCCAACTCTTATGTTATTTACCTAAAACAGCTTCACTGGCCAGTCTGTTAATGCTGTCCGTCTGCAGGTGGAAACCCTCCACAGTCACTTTCACATCTGTAAGATATTTACTGGTGTTTAAAGAAGGCTACTGTTTTATGATTACTAAAGCCAACATCCTGTTTCATGCTTTGTACAGTAAGTTTTCACTAGGGCTTTATAAAAAAAATGTCAATGAGTTTACAGATATAGATCAATAGGGATCAGGACACCACATTACGGCCCAGGGTTCATTAGTTAAAGGTCCTCAGTTTCCCTCCTTAAGTGTTACAGTGTCATTAACAATATCATCTAAATGAAATATCAGAAATAATTCACAGTATGGGATATGTGTAAATTTGCCTTTTTTTTCTGAAGTGCAAGCACAAAAACTCGAATAAGTCCAGGAATGTCACCCAAAACTAAATGTTAGTACACAGAGGCAATGTGAGCAGCAGTCAATCGCTGGAGATCCTGCAGGACCAACACTGAGGAGAAACAGGAACTCAGAAAACTGAATAGGCTGTATTGGCTGAGCGAGATCGTGTTGGTTTGTTCCACTTCAGTGGGGCAACATAAACTGTGATTCATAAAATAGCTCTATTGATAGTAAGTACTAAAAAAAAATATCTACTCATGCCATCCTGTCGATTTTCAGTAATCAGTGTTTCAGTGTTGAACTATTTCCTTTCTGCGGTGTAGTGATACTTGCACATACACAATGGAATATGCAGAGGGGTGAAGTGATTTTTATCACGTGGACCAATAGGAGCCGAGTCTCGTTGCCATAGTATCAGAAATACACAAACATGGCGACGAGCGCATCTAGCAGCGAGACAAGCGAAGAGGAAAAAAAGAAAAGGAAAAAAAGAAATCAGCCTTCAAAAGTGCATCAAAAAGGAACAAAACGATGCTATATGCATCTATCATCTGTCCAGAATGAAGACGTTCTCGACTTTACAAGGACACATTGGGAAACTTACAGAACTGGTATTAGAAAGTGGCTTTCTCTACAGGTTGAGACAAAGGACCAGCCAGAAATGTACATATATGTGAGTAACACAAAAACGATTATATGGTGCAGCTGTTTTTGCTTGTAGAAACTGCTATGTTGATTCTGGCAAGACAAAATCTCTCTCAAATGTCATAAATACCGCTACCTAACATCTGAAACAGTTATTGGTGCCTTAGTATACGCATAAGTGAATTCAGATTATAAAATGTAACAGATTTCTTGAAGAAAAACGTCTCAACTCAAGTGATTTGCACCCAGCACAATGAAATATATACAGTAAATTTAGCTATAAGCTGAAGTTTCATACATAAACGGCTGAAAGTCAATCAAATTGCTACCACGCCCCCCAAAATTGGAATAATGGAAAAAAAGTAACAAGACAAAAATAAATGCACAAAAGTTATGAATTAATTCAAAATATGGTATAAAACATTTATTCAAGTATCACAGTGTCAAAACATCTGACATTTATCAATCCCTCCATAATATGAAAATAAAGATCAGAACACAAACGCAGACAAATGTAGAACAAATATAAAAATAATAAAAATCCCAAATCTCGGTGTAGCAATCCTTTAAACAAAACAAATTGTACATGGTGACATGGTGCGTATATTACGCATCACTATCACTTTCATCAGAGTCATCATCCCATACAGCTCTTTCTTCTGTTTCCTTTGAAGCATTCTCACATGCTTGGCACCGACATAAATCTGTACAGAATGGCATGAGTAGATATTTTTTTTTAGTACTTACTATCAATATAGCTATTTTATGAATCACAGTTTATGTTGCCCCACTGAAGTGGAACGAGATTTACTTTCTAGGCACTTTTTCCTCTGTCCCAATACAGCCTAGAAACGTTTTTAAGAAATGTATTTATCATGATGGGAAAATGTGCTTGGTAAACACTTATGGCCTGATCTACTACAAAAATTGCACGTGCTATTTGTGGGCGTGTTGCCGGTGATTTACAATGATTGCAAATGCAGTTGATAACAGGTGCAAAAGTGGAGCAGACCGCTCTATCTAAATGAGGATTTTGGGTTCATTACTGAGTGGTCATGGACTAAAAATTAAGTTTGAGGCCATGGAGTTGTCCATCCTGCGTGACATAGAATTCCATACTTCAATCAATCAATCTCTTTATTTATAGTGCACTTTTCATACATGGACTGTATCACAAAGTGCTGTACATGAAAGAATACAAGAAGGAGAGGATCAGGGGATACCGAACAAAATACAAGATAAAATTCAAATTGCAAAACCCCACCCACCGACCCACCCTCAAAGCCCCCATTTAACAGACACCCCACCACCTATCCACACACACACACACACACACACACACACACACACACACACACACACACACACACACACACACACACACACACACACACACACACACACACACGCAACCACTGGGACACCAAGTCAGGGCTCAGCAGGAAGCCCCAGTGGACCAAGGAAACGCTATCTTAAACTAAAATGGGGAAACACTGGAGCTGAAGCTAAACTGAACTAAAACCATGACAAGACAAAGGAAACTCATAAAATGATATAAAAAATGATATAAAATGAAATAAAATAAAAGAGTAATAATAATAAAACTAGGGCCCCGTTGGGGCACTGGCGGGCCCGAGCCGTGTTGCGCCGCCCCCAGCGCGACCGCCTACCCCTCCTGATCGCGTCACACTCAAGGTCGAAAGATGGTGTGTGCACTTGTCTGTGGTCATTTACCATTATAATGAATGGGAGGCGCAGTTTCTACCAAAATGCTCGCTGCAGACAAACTCCATGTCCTTTTTGAAAAAAGTCTGGACCATGAGTGAGGGCATAAACACAACTAGTGTATATCCAAATGGCAAGTTGCTCCTCCTTTCGGTTTTGCCGAGAGAGCGATGCGTTTGAGCCATTGAGCGATGGGCAGGAAAAACTTGACTTTTTCTCCTGCCATGGGGGGGCGCTCTTTTGGGGAGAAAAAATTCCTTCACAAATGTGTTGATGGCTGGACATTGCATCATCCTAGAAAACTTGGAGGCCAGTGAGGACAAAAATAAAAAGTTATAAGACTTTTTAAAATGTGGATATTTGGGTCCTCTTTGGCGCCCCCTAGAACGTAAACCGTGGGGTGCAGCGTCATGATTTGTACAACTTTGAATGGCCATGGGGTGTAGATTGACCTGAGCAAATTTGAAGCCGATGGGACAAAAGCTTTAGGAGGAGTTAGCCACATTCCAATGTGTGCGAATCGGCAAAAAATGCGAAATAGCCCTTTAACCGTACATTGAACAGATACGCTCGCAATGACTTTTTCGTAGATCTTATTGAGATACATGTGTGTGTCAAATTTTGTGTCATTTTGACAAAGCGTAAAGGCGTGACAGTCAACAATGTGTATTTTCGCCTTAGGAGACAAGAAAAAATGGACTTTTTTCTCCTGCCATGGGGGGGGCGCTCTTTTGGCGAGTAAAAATTCCTTCACAAATGTGTTGATGGCTGGACATTGCATCTTCCTAGAGAACTTGGAGGCCAGTGAGGACAAAAATAAAAAGTTATAAGACTTTTAAGACTATGGATTTTTGGGTTATCTTTGGCGCCCCCTAGAACGTAAACCGTGGGGTGCAGCGTCATGATTTGTACAACTTTTAATGGCCATGGGGTGTAGATTGGCCTGAGCAAATGTGGTGCCTTTGGAACGAAAGCCTTCGGAGGAGTTAGCGAAATTCCAATGTGTGCGGATCGGCAAAAAATGCGAAATAGCCCTTTAACCGTACATTTGACAGATACGCCCGCGCTGACTTTTTTGTAGATCTTATTGAGATACATGTGTGTGTCAATTTTTGTGTCAATATGACAAAGCGTAAAGGCGTGACAGTCAATAGTGTGAATTTTCACCTTAGGGGGCGCTATGGAGCCATTTTGCATTTTATTGTTTGGGCGACTTCAGAATATCGAATTTTTCACCAGGCCCATTCGTCCTGCCAAATTTCATGAGTTTTCGCCAGTGGGAAGTGGGCCATTTTCCCCTTCAAAGGGGAGGAAAAATAAGAAGAAAGAAAGAAAGAAAGAAAGAAAGAAAGACTAGGGCCCCGGTGGGGCACTGTCGGGCCCGAGCCGCGTCGCGCCGCCCCCAGCGCGACCGCCTCCCCCTCCCGATCGCGTCACACTCAAGGTCCAAAGATGGTGTGCGCACTTGTCTGTGGTCATTTCCCATTATAATGAATGGGAGGCGCAGTTTCTACCAAAACGCTCGCTGCAGACAAACTACATGTCCTATTTGAAAAAAGTCTGGACCATGAGTGAGGGCACAAACACAGCTAGTATATATCCAAATGGCAAGTTGCTCCTCCTTTCGGTTTTGCAGAGAGAGCGATGCGTTTGAGCCATTGAGCGATGGGCAGGAAAAACTTGACTTTTTCTCCTGCCATGGGGGGCGCTCTTTTGGGGAGAAAAATTCCTTCACAAATGTGTTGATGGCTGGACATTGCATCATCCTAGAAAACTTGGAGGCCAGTGAGGACAAAAATAAAAAGTTATAAGACTTTTAAAAATGTGGATATTTGGGTCCTCTTTGGCGCCCCCTAGAACGTAAACTGTGGGGTGCAGCGTCATGATTTGTACAACTTTGAATGGCCATGGGGTGTAGATTGACCTGAGCAAATTTGAAGCCGATGGGACAAAAGATTTAGGAGGAGTTAGCGAAATTCCAATGTGTGCGGATCGGCAAAAAATGCGAAATAACCCTTTAACTGTACATTTGACAGATACGCCCGCACTGACTTTTTTGTAGATCTTATTGAGATACATGTGTGTGTCAAATTTTGTGTCATTTTGACAAAGCGTACAGGCGTGACAGTCAACAATGTGTATTTTCGCCTTAGGAGACAAGAAAAAATGGACTTTTTTCTCCTGCCATGGGGGGGGGGCGCTCTTTTGGCGAGTAAAAATTCCTTCACAAATGTGTTGATGGCTGGACATTGCATCATCCTAGAGAACTTGGAGGCCAGTGAGGACAAAAATAAAAAGTTATAAGACTTTTAAGACTGTGGATTTTTGGGTTATCTTTGGCGCCCCCTAGAACGTAAACCGTGGGGTGCAGCGTCATGATTTGTACAACTTTTAATGGCCATGGGGTGTAGATTGGCCTCAGCAAATGTGGTGCCTTTGGAACGAAAGCCTTCGGAGGAGTTAGCGAAATTCCAATGTGTGCGGATCGGCAAAAAATGCGAAATAACCCTTTAACCGTACATTTGACAGATACGCCCGCACTGACTTTTTTGTAGATCTTATTGAGATACATGTGTGTGTCAATTTTTGTGTCAATATGACAAAGCGTAAAGGCGTGACAGTCAATAGTGTGAATTTTCGCCTTAGGAGACAAGAAAAAATGGACTTTTTTCTCCTGCCATGGGGGGCGCTCTTTTGGGGAGTAAAAATTCCTTCACAAATGTGTTGATGGCTGGACATTGCATCATCCTAGAAAACTTGGAGGCCAGTGAGGACAAAAATAAAAAGTTATACGACTTTTAAGAATGTGGATTTCTGGGTTATCTTTGGCGCCCCCTAGAACGTAAACCGTGGGATGCAGCGTCATGATTTGTACAACTTTTAATGGCCATGGGGTGTAGATTGGCCTGAGCAAATTTGGTGCCGGTGGAACGAAAGCCTTCGGAGGAGTTAGCGAAATTCCAATGTGTGCGGATCGGCAAAAAATGCGAACTAGGGCCCCGGTGGGGCACTGTCGGGCCCGAGCCGCGTCGCGCCGCCCCCAGCGCGACCGCCTCCCTCCCGATCGCGTCACACTCAAGGTCCAAAGATGGTGTGCGCACTTGTCTGTGGTCATTTCCCATTATAATGAATGGGAGGCGCAGTTTCTACCAAAACGCTCGCTGCAGACAAACTACATGTCCTATTTGAAAAAAGTCTGGACCATGAGTGAGGGCACAAACACAGCTAGTATATATCCAAATGGCAAGTTGCTCCTCCTTTCGGTTTTGCAGAGAGAGCGATGCGTTTGAGCCATTGAGCGATGGGCAGGAAAAACTTGACTTTTTCTCCTGCCATGGGGGGGCGCTCTTTTGGGGAGAAAAAATTCCTTCACAAATGTGTTGATGGCTGGACATTGCATCATCCTAGAAAACTTGGAGGCCAGTGAGGACAAAAATAAAAAGTTATAAGACTTTTAAAAATGTGGATATTTGGGTCCTCTTTGGCGCCCCCTAGAACGTAAACTGTGGGGTGCAGCGTCATGATTTGTACAACTTTGAATGGCCATGGGGTGTAGATTGACCTGAGCAAATTTGAAGCCAATGGGACAAAAGATTTAGGAGGAGTTAGCGAAATTCCAATGTGTGCGGATCGGCAAAAAATGCGAAATAACCCTTTAACCGTACATTTGACAGATACGCCCGCACTGACTTTTTTGTAGATCTTATTGAGATACATGTGTGTGTCAAATTTTGTGTCATTTTGAGAAAGCGTAAAGGCGGTGACAGTCAACAATGTGTATTTTCGCCTTAGGAGACAAGAAAAAATGGACTTTTTTCTCCTGCCATGGGGGGGGGGCGCTCTTTTGGCGAGTAAAAATTCCTTCACAAATGTGTTGATGGCTGGACATTGCATCATCCTAGAGAACTTGGAGGCCAGTGAGGACAAAAATAAAAAGTTATAAGACTTTTAAGACTGTGGATTTTTGGGTTATCTTTGGCGCCCCCTAGAACGTAAACCGTGGGGTGCAGCGTCATGATTTGTACAACTTTTAATGGCCATGGGGTGTAGATTGGCCTCAGCAAATGTGGTGCCTTTGGAACGAAAGCCTTCGGAGGAGTTAGCGAAATTCCAATGTGTGCGGATCGGCAAAAAATGCGAAATAACCCTTTAACCGTACATTTGACAGATACGCCCGCACTGACTTTTTTGTAGATCTTATTGAGATACATGTGTGTGTCAATTTTTGTGTCAATATGACAAAGCGTAAAGGCGTGACAGTCAATAGTGTGAATTTTCGCCTTAGGAGACAAGAAAAAATGGACTTTTTTCTCCTGCCATGGGGGGGCGCTCTTTTGGGGAGTAAAAATTCCTTCACAAATGTGTTGATGGCTGGACATTGCATCATCCTAGAAAACTTGGAGGCCAGTGAGGACAAAAATAAAAAGTTATAAGACTTTTAAAAATGTGGATATTTGGGTCCTCTTTGGCGCCCCCTAGAACGTAAACTGTGGGGTGCAGCGTCATGATTTGTACAACTTTGAATGGCCATGGGGTGTAGATTGACCTGAGCAAATTTGAAGCCAATGGGACAAAAGATTTAGGAGGAGTTAGCGAAATTCCAATGTGTGCGGATCGGCAAAAAATGCGAAATAACCCTTTAACCGTACATTTGACAGATACGCCCGCACTGACTTTTTTGTAGATCTTATTGAGATACATGTGTGTGTCAAATTTTGTGTCATTTTGACAAAGCGTAAAGGCGTGACAGTCAACAATGTGTATTTTCGCCTTAGGAGACAAGAAAAAATGGACTTTTTTCTCCTGCCGTGGGGGGTGCGCTCTTTTGGCGAGTAAAAATTCCTTCACAAATGTGTTGATGGCTGGACATTGCATCATCCTAGAGAACTTGGAGGCCAGTGAGGACAAAAATAAAAAGTTATAAGACTTTTAAGACTGTGGATTTTTGGGTTATCTTTGGCGCCCCCTAGAACGTAAACCGTGGGGTGCAGCGTCATGATTTGTACAACTTTTAATGGCCATGGGGTGTAGATTGGCCTCAGCAAATGTGGTGCCTTTGGAACGAAAGCCTTCGGAGGAGTTAGCGAAATTCCAATGTGTGCGGATCGGCAAAAAATGCGAAATAACCCTTTAACCGTACATTTGACAGATACGCCCGCACTGACTTTTTTGTAGATCTTATTGAGATACATGTGTGTGTCAATTTTTGTGTCAATATGACAAAGCGTAAAGGCGTGACAGTCAATAGTGTGAATTTTCGCCTTAGGAGACAAGAAAAAATGGACTTTTTTCTCCTGCCATGGGGGGGCGCTCTTTTGGGGAGTAAAAATTCCTTCACAAATGTGTTGATGGCTGGACATTGCATCATCCTAGAAAACTTGGAGGCCAGTGAGGACAAAAATAAAAAGTTATACGACTTTTAAGAATGTGGATTTCTGGGTTATCTTTGGCGCCCCCTAGAACGTAAACCGTGGGATGCAGCGTCATGATTTGTACAACTTTTAATGGCCATGGGGTGTAGATTGGCCTGAGCAAATTTGGTGCCGGTGGAACGAAAGCCTTCGGAGGAGTTAGCGAAATTCCAATGTGTGCGGATCGGCAAAAAATGCGAAATAGCCCTTTAACCGTACATTTGACAGATACGCCCGCACTGACTTTTTTGTAGATCTTATTGAGATACACGTGTGTGTCAAATTTTGTGTCATTTTGACAAAGCGTACAGGCGTGACACTCAATCATGTGAATTTTTCACCTTAGGGGGCGCTATGGAACCATTTTGCATTTGATTTTTTGGGCGACTTCAGAATATCGAATTTTTCACCAGGCCCGGTCGTCCTGCCAAATTTCATGACTTTTCACCAGTGGGAAGTGGGCCATTTTCCAGTTCAAAGGGGCAGAAAAATAACTAGGGCCCCGGTGGGGCACTGTCGGGCCCGAGCCGTGTCGCGCCGCCCCCAGCGCGACCGCCTCCCCCTCCCGATCGCGTCACACTCAAGGTCCAAAGATGGTGTGCGCACTTGTCTGTGGTCATTTCCCATTATAATGAATGGGAGGCGCAGTTTCTACCAAAACGCTCGCTGCAGACAAACTACATGTCCTATTTGAAAAAAGTCTGGACCATGAGTGAGGGCACAAACACAGCTAGTATATATCCAAATGGCAAGTTGCTCCTCCTTTCGGTTTTGCAGAGAGAGCGATGCGTTTGAGCCATTGAGCGATGGGCAGGAAAAACTTGACTTTTTCTCCTGCCATGGGGGGGCGCTCTTTTGGGGAGAAAAAATTCCTTCACAAATGTGTTGATGGCTGGACATTGCATCATCCTAGAAAACTTGGAGGCCAGTGAGGACAAAAATAAAAAGTTATAAGACTTTTAAAAATGTGGATATTTGGGTCCTCTTTGGCGCCCCCTAGAACGTAAACTGTGGGGTGCAGCGTCATGATTTGTACAACTTTTAATGGCCATGGGGTGTAGATTGGCCTGAGCAAATGTGGTGCCGGTGGAACGAAAGCCTTCGGAGGAGTTAGCGAAATTCCAATGTGTGCGGATCGGCAAAAAATGCGAAATAACCCTTTAACCGTACATTTGACAGATACGCCCGCACTGACTTTTTTGTAGATCTTATTGAGATACATGTGTGTGTCAAATTTTGTGTCATTTTGACAAAGCGTAAAGGCGTGACAGTCAACAATGTGTATTTTCGCCTTAGGAGACAAGAAAAAATGGACTTTTTTCTCCTGCCATGGGGGGGGCGCTCTTTTGGCGAGTAAAAATTCCTTCACAAATGTGTTGATGGCTGGACATTGCATCATCCTAGTGAACTTGGAGGCCAGTGAGGACAAAAATAAAAAGTTATAAGACTTTTAAGACTGTGGATTTTTGGGTTATCTTTGGCGCCCCCTAGAACGTAAACCGTGGGGTGCAGCGTCATGATTTGTACAACTTTTAATGGCCATGGGGTGTAGATTGGCCTCAGCAAATGTGGTGCCTTTGGAACGAAAGCCTTCGGAGGAGTTAGCGAAATTCCAATGTGTGCGGATCGGCAAAAAATGCGAAATAGCCCTTTCACTGTACATTTGACAGATACGCCCGCACTGACTTTTTTGTAGATCTTATTGAGATACATGTGTGTGTCAATTTTTGTGTCAATATGACATAGCGTAAAGACGTGACAGTCAATAGTGTGAATTTTCGCCCTAGGAGACAAGAAAAAATGGACTTTTTTCTCCTGCCATGGGGGGGCGCTCTTTTGGGGAGTAAAAATTCCTTCACAAATGTGTTGATGGCTGGACATTGCATCATCCTAGAAAACTTGGAGGCCAGTGAGGACAAAAATAAAAAGTTATACGACTTTTAAGAATGTGGATTTCTGGGTTATCTTTGGCGCCCCCTAGAACGTAAACCGTGGGATGCAGCGTCATGATTTGTACAACTTTTAATGGCCATGGGGTGTAGATTGGCCTGAGCAAATTTGGTGCCGGTGGAACGAAAGCCTTCGGAGGAGTTAGCGAAATTCCAATGTGTGCGGATCGGCAAAAAATGCGAAATAGCCCTTTAACCGTACATTTGACAGATACGCCCGCACTGACTTTTTTGTAGATCTTATTGAGATACACGTGTGTGTCAAATTTTGTGTCATTTTGACAAAGCGTACAGGCGTGACACTCAATCATGTGAATTTTTCACCTTAGGGGGCGCTATGGAGCCATTTTGCATTTGATTTTTTGGGCGACTTCAGAATATCGAATTTTTCACCAGGCCCGGTCGTCCTGCCAAATTTCATGACTTTTCACCAGTGGGAAGTGGGCCATTTTCCAGTTCAAAGGGGCAGAAAAATAATAAGAAGAAGAAGAAGAAAGAAGAATCCATCAGGAATAATAGGGCTCTCGCAGCTGCTTAGCAGCTACGCTCGGGCCCTAATAAGAAGAAGAAGAAGAAAGAAGAATCCATCAGGAATAATAGGGCTCTCGCAGCTGCTTAGCAGCTACGCTCGGGCCCTAAATAGCCCTTTAACCGTACATTTGACAGATACGCCCGCACTGACTTTTTTGTAGATCTTATTGAGATACACGTGTGTGTCAAATTTTGTGTCATTTTGACAAAGCGTACAGGCGTGACACTCAATCATGTGAATTTTCGCCTTAGGAGACAAGAAAAAATGGACTTTTTTCTCCTACCATGGGGGGGCGCTCTTTTGGCGAGTAAAAATTCCTTCACAAATGTGTTGATGGCTGGACATTGCATCATCCTAGAGAACTTGGAGGCCAGTGAGGACAAAAATAAAAAGTTATAAGACTTTTAAGACTATGGATTTTTGGGTTATCTTTGGCGCCCCCTAGAACGTAAACCGTGGGGTGCAGCGTCATGATTTGTACAACTTTTAATGGCCATGGGGTGTAGATTGGCCTGAGCAAATGTGGTGCCTTTGGAACGAAAGCCTTCAGAGGAGTTAGCGAAATTCCAATGTGTGCGGATCGGCAAAAAATGCGAAATAGCCCTTTAACCGTACATTTGACAGATACGCCCGCACTGACTTTTTTGTAGATCTTATTGAGATACATGTGTGTGTCAATTTTTGTGTCAATATGACAAAGCGTAAAGGCGTGACAGTCAATAGTGTGAATTTTCACCTTAGGGGGCGCTATGGAGCCATTTTGCATTTTATTGTTTGGGCGACTTCAGAATATCGAATTTTTCACCAGGCCCATTCGTCCTGCCAAATTTCATGAGTTTTCGCCAGTGGGAAGTGGGCCATTTTCCCCTTCAAAGGGGAGGAAAAATAAGAAGAAAGAAAGAAAGAAAGAAAGAAAGAAAGAAAGACTAGGGCCCCGGTGGGGCACTGTCGGGCCCGAGCCGCGTCGCGCCGCCCCCAGCGCGACCGCCTCCCCCTCCCGATCGCGTCACACTCAAGGTCCAAAGATGGTGTGCGCACTTGTCTGTGGTCATTTCCCATTATAATGAATGGGAGGCGCAGTTTCTACCAAAACGCTCGCTGCAGACAAACTACATGTCCTATTTGAAAAAAGTCTGGACCATGAGTGAGGGCACAAACACAGCTAGTATATATCCAAATGGCAAGTTGCTCCTCCTTTCGGTTTTGCAGAGAGAGCGATGCGTTTGAGCCATTGAGCGATGGGCAGGAAAAACTTGACTTTTTCTCCTGCCATGGGGGGGCGCTCTTTTGGGGAGAAAAAATTCCTTCACAAATGTGTTGATGGCTGGACATTGCATCATCCTAGAAAACTTGGAGGCCAGTGAGGACAAAAATAAAAAGTTATAAGACTTTTAAAAATGTGGATATTTGGGTCCTCTTTGGCGCCCCCTAGAACGTAAACTGTGGGGTGCAGCGTCATGATTTGTACAACTTTGAATGGCCATGGGGTGTAGATTGACCTGAGCAAATTTGAAGCCGATGGGACAAAAGATTTAGGAGGAGTTAGCGAAATTCCAATGTGTGCGGATCGGCAAAAAATGCGAAATAACCCTTTAACCGTACATTTGACAGATACGCCCGCACTGACTTTTTTGTAGATCTTATTGAGATACATGTGTGTGTCAAATTTTGTGTCATTTTGACAAAGCGTACAGGCGTGACAGTCAACAATGTGTATTTTCGCCTTAGGAGACAAGAAAAAATGGACTTTTTTCTCCTGCCATGGGGGGCGCTCTTTTGGCGAGTAAAAATTCCTTCACAAATGTGTTGATGGCTGGACATTGCATCATCCTAGAGAACTTGGAGGCCAGTGAGGACAAAAATAAAAAGTTATAAGACTTTTAAGACTGTGGATTTTTGGGTTATCTTTGGCGCCCCCTAGAACGTAAACCGTGGGGTGCAGCGTCATGATTTGTACAACTTTTAATGGCCATGGGGTGTAGATTGGCCTCAGCAAATGTGGTGCCTTTGGAACGAAAGCCTTCGGAGGAGTTAGCGAAATTCCAATGTGTGCGGATCGGCAAAAAATGCGAAATAACCCTTTAACCGTACATTTGACAGATACGCCCGCACTGACTTTTTTGTAGATCTTATTGAGATACATGTGTGTGTCAATTTTTGTGTCAATATGACAAAGCGTAAAGGCGTGACAGTCAATAGTGTGAATTTTCGCCTTAGGAGACAAGAAAAAATGGACTTTTTTCTCCTGCCATGGGGGGGCGCTCTTTTGGGGAGTAAAAATTCCTTCACAAATGTGTTGATGGCTGGACATTGCATCATCCTAGAAAACTTGGAGGCCAGTGAGGACAAAAATAAAAAGTTATACGACTTTTAAGAATGTGGATTTCTGGGTTATCTTTGGCGCCCCCTAGAACGTAAACCGTGGGATGCAGCGTCATGATTTGTACAACTTTTAATGGCCATGGGGTGTAGATTGGCCTGAGCAAATTTGGTGCCGGTGGAACGAAAGCCTTCGGAGGAGTTAGCGAAATTCCAATGTGTGCGGATCGGCAAAAAATGCGAAATAGCCCTTTAACCGTACATTTGACAGATACGCCCGCACTGACTTTTTTGTAGATCTTATTGAGATACACGTGTGTGTCAAATTTTGTGTCATTTTGACAAAGCGTACAGGCGTGACACTCAATCATGTGAATTTTCGCCTTAGGAGACAAGAAAAAATGGACTTTTTTCTCCTACCATGGGGGGGCGCTCTTTTGGCGAGTAAAAATTCCTTCACAAATGTGTTGATGGCTGGACATTGCATCATCCTAGAGAACTTGGAGGCCAGTGAGGACAAAAATAAAAAGTTATAAGACTTTTAAGACTGTGGATTTTTGGGTTATCTTTGGCGCCCCCTAGAACGTAAACCGTGGGGTGCAGCGTCATGATTTGTACAACTTTTAATGGCCATGGGGTGTAGATTGGCCTGAGCAAATGTGGTGCCGGTGGAACGAAAGCCTTCGGAGGAGTTAGCGAAATTCCAATGTGTGCGGATCGGCAAAAAATGCGAAATAACCCTCTAACCGTACATTTGACAGATACGCCCGCGCTGACTTTTTTGTAGATCTTATTGAGATACATGTGTGTGTCAATTTTTGTGTCAATATGACAAAGCGTAAAGGCGTGACAGTCAATAGTGTGAATTTTCATCTTAGGGGGCGCTATGGAGCCATTTTGCATTTTATTGTTTGGGCGACTTCAGAATATCAAATTTTTCACCAGGCCCATTTGTCCTGCCAAATTTCATGAGTTTTCGCCAGTGGGAAGTGGGCCATTTTCCCCTTCAAAGGGGAGGAAAAATAAGAAGAACTAGGGCCCCGTTGGGGCACTGGCGGGCCCGAGCTGTGTCACGCCGCCCCCAACACGACCGCCTCTCCCTCCCGATCGCGTCACACTCAAGGTTCAACGATGGTGTGCGCACTTGTCTGTGGTCATTTACCATTATAATGAATGGGAGGCGCAGTTTCTACCAAAACACTTGCTGCAGACAAACTACATGTCCTATTTGAAAAAAGTCTGGACCATGAGTGAGGGCACAAACACAGCTAGGATATATCCAAATGGCAAGTTCCTCCTCCTTTCGTTTTTTTCCGAGAGAGCGATGTGTTTGAGCCATTGAGCGATGGGCAGGAAAAACTTGACTTTATTCTCCTGCCATGGGGGGGCGCTCTTTTGGGGAGTAAAAATTCCTTCACAAATGTGTTGATGGCTAGACATTGCATCATCCTAGAAAACTTTGAAGCCAGTGAGGACAAAAATGAAAAGTTATAAGACTTTTAAGAATGTGGATTTTTGGGTTATCTTTGGCGCCCCCTAGAACGTAAACCGTGGGGTGCAGCATCATGATTTGTACAACTTTTAATGGCCATGGGGTGTAGATTGGCCTGAGCAAATTTGGTGCCGGTGGAACGAAAGCTTTAGGAGGAGTTAGCCACATTCCAATGTGTGCGAATCAACCAAAAATGCGAAATAGCCCTTTAACCGTACATTTTGCAGACACGTGCGCATTGACTTTTTCGTAGATCTTATTGAGATACACGTGATTATAAAATTTTGTTTCAATATGACAAAGCGTACAGGCGTGACACTCAACAATGTGTATTTTCACCTTATAGGACAAGAAAAAATGGCCTTTTTTCTCCTGCCATGGGGGGGCGCTCTTTTGGGGAGTAAAAATTCCTTCACAAATGTGTTGATGGCTGGACATTGCATCATCCTAGAAAACTTGGAGGCCAGTGAGGACAGAAATAAAAAGTTATAAGACTTGTAAGAATGTGGATTTTGGGTTATCTTTGGCGCCCCCTACAACGTAAACCGTGGGGTGCAGCGTCATGATTTGTACAACTTTGAATGGCCATGGGGTGTAGATTGGCCTGAGCAAATTTGGTGCCGGTGGAACGAAAGCCTTCGGAGGAGTTAGCGAAATTCCAATGTGTGCGGATCGGCAAAAAATGCGAAATAGCCCTTTAAACGTACATTTGACAGATACGCCCGCACTGACTTTTTTGTAGATCTTATTGAGATACACGTGTGTGTCAAATTTTGTGTCATTTTGACAAAGCGTACAGGCGTGACACTCAATCATGTGAATTTTTCACCTTAGGGGGCGCTATGGAGCCATTTTGCATTTGATTGTTTGGGTGACTTCAGAATATCGAATTTTTCACCAGGCCCGGTCGTCCTGCCAAATTTCATGAGTTTTCACCAGTGGGAAGTGGGCCATTTTCCAGTTCAAAGGGGCAGAAAAATAATAATAAGAAGAAGAAGAAGAAAGAAGAATCCATCAGGAATAATAGGGCTCTCGCAGCTGCTTAGCAGCTACGCTCGGGCCCTAACTAGGGCCCCGGTGGGGCACTGGCAGGCCCGAGCCGTGTCGCGCCGCCCCCAGCGCGACCGCCTCCCCCACCCAATCGCGTCACACTCAAGGTCCAAAGATGGTGTGCGCACTTGTCTGTGGTCATTTACCATTATAATGAATGGGAGGCGCAGTTTCTACCAAAACGCTCGCTGCAGAAAAACTCCATGTCCTATTTGAAAAAAGTCTGGACCATGAGTGAGGGCACAAACACAGCTAAGATATATCCAAATGACAAGTTGCTCCTCCTTTCGCTTTTGCCGAGAGAGCGATGCGTTTGAGCCATTGAACGATGAACAGGAAAAACTTGACTTTATTCTCCTGCCATGGGGGGGCGCTCTTTTAACGAGAAAAAACTCCTTCACAAATGTGTTGATGGCTGGACATTGCATCATCCTAGAAAACATGGAGGCCAGTGAGGACAAAAATAAAATGTTATAACACTTTTAAGAATATGGATATTTGGGTCATCTTTGGCGCCCCCTAGAACTTAAACCGTGGGGTGCAGTGTCATGATTTTTACAACTTTGAATGGCCATGGGGTGTAGATTGGCCTGAGCAAATTTGGTGCCGGTGGAGCGAAAGCCTTAGGAGGAGTTAGCTACATTCCAATGTGTGCGAATCGGCAAAAAATGCGAAATAGCCCTTTAACCGTACATTTGACAGATACGCCTGCATTTACTTTTTCGTAGATCTTATTGAGATACACGTGTGTGTCGAATTTTGTGTCATTTTGACAAAGCGTACAGGCATGACACTCAACAATGTGTATTTTCACCTTAGGGGACAAGAAAAAATGGACTTTTTTCTCCTGCCATGGGGGGGCGCTCTATTGGGGAGTAAACATTCCTTCACAAATGTGTTGATGGCTGGACATTGCATCATCCTAGAAAACTTGGAGGCCAGTGAGGACAAAAATAAAAAGTTATAAGACTTTTAAAAATGTGGATATTTGGGTCCTCTTTGGCGCCCCCTAGAACGTAGACCGTGGGGTGCAGCGTCATGATTTTTACAACTTTGAATGGCCATGGGGTGTAGATTGGCCTGAGCAAATTTGGTGTCAGTGGGACGAAAGCCTTAGGAGGAGTTAGCCACATTCCAATGTGTGCGAAACGGCAAAAAATGCGAAATAGCCCTTTAACCGTACATTTTACTGATACGCGCGCATTGACTCTTTCGTAGATCTTATTGAGATACACGTGATTGTCAAATTTTGTGTCAATATGACGAAGCGTACAGGCGTGACATTCAACAATGTGTATTTTCGCCTTAGGGGACAAGAAAAACTTGACTTTTTTCTCCTGCCATGGGGGGGCGCTCTTTTGGGGAGTAAAAATTCCTTCACAAATGTGTTGATGGCTGGACATGGCATCATCCTAGAAAACTTGGAGGCCAGTGAGGACAAAAATAAAAAGTTATAAGACTTTTAAGAATGTGGATTTTTGGGTTATTTTTGGCGCCCCCTAGAACGTAAACCGTGGGGTGCAGCATCATGATTTGTACAACTTTTAATGGCCATGGGGTGTAGATTGGCCTGAGCAAATTTGGTGCCGGTGGAACGAAAGCCTTCGGAGGAGTTAGCGAAATTCCAATGTGTGCGGATCGGCAAAAAATGCGAAATAGCCCTTTAACCGTACATTTGACAGATACGCCCGCACTGACTTTTTTGTAGATCTTATTGAGATACACATGTGTGTCAAATTTTGTGTCATTTTGACAAAGCGTACAGGCGTCAGGTGAGTTTTCACCATAGGGGGCGCTATGGAGCCATTTTTCATTTTTTTGTTTGGGCGACTTCAGAATATCAAATTTTTCACCAGGCCCGGTCGTCCTGCCAAATTTCCTGAGTTTTCGCCAGTGGGAAGTGGGCCATTTTCCAGTTTAAAGCGGAGGAAAAATAACGAAAGAAGAATCCATCAGGAACAAGAGGGCTCTCGCAGCTGCTTAGCAGCTACGCTCGGGCCCTAAAGAAAGAAAGAAAGAAAGAAAGAAAGAAGAAAGAAAAACCTTTACAGGAATAATAGGGCTCTACGCCCGGCTGCTCTGCAGCTGGCTCGGGCCCTAACAAGAGGGCTCTCGCAGCTGCTTAGCAGCTACGCTCGGGCCCTAAAAATCAGCTTAAAGGGGACCTGCCATCAAAATTTCATACCCATTTTTATCATTTTTTCATAATCCTTGATGTCCTCTGATCATGTTTGCAACATAATTTTACCTGAAAAGTTATTTGATGGTTTGTTTTTAGTATGCCTAAAAAACCTTACAGGAAAACCAACTGATTTTGGCTCATTAACATTTATGGTAATGAGCTTTGCTCTGATTGGATCGCTGCTGTGACGCCTGCTGTGCTCTGATTGGCTCAGCAGTGGAGGTTCGGATTTCAGTTTATCCATTTTGCTAATGTGTGCTAAAGTAAGGTGCCCAGATGTCTGTAATGATATCCGGGGATATTTGGTGCGGCGGCGGCTGCGGGGAGGGTGCAGGGGCTGCAGGGGCTGCGTGATCACAGACAAAATCTTGGTACTATTTAGTAGCAGCGCATGCCCCTTGTAATAACCCCCCTTAAAAACTGTTGTTCAGGACTGCTTACTTGTGCTTCCTACCTATTCGGCTACTGTAATAACCGTTGTTCGAGCCCACACGCAACATTTTTGCTCTCATTAATGAAACGCTTAAATCGGGGACATTTTCGGGGACAGCTTTTACCGGGGACAGGTCATCCAATACGGGGACTGTCCCCGGAAAACGGGGACGTCTGGTCACCTTATGCTAAAGGCTAAAAATGGCAGGTATTAACCTATATATTTTAGACCCTGAGTCCGAAGAGGAGGTGGAAGTTGAAGAAGAAGCCGGAGATCTCCAGCTGTGTTTTGTCATTCATTCTGCCCAGCTTTAAGTTCATTTTCCCGGCAGTGAACCCAAGGAAACACCGGTCGTTTGGAAGAGACCCATAGCGGATACAGTGGTAGCTGGGTCTCGCTCTGGCTGGAGAGTGATGTTGACTGTGAATGAGTACAAGAACGAGAGAGTGGGCGCGGCTCACCGAGGACGCGCTCGTGAATAATAATGAGCAAGGTCAGCGTGACGTCAGAAGGACCTGCTTTTTCAATTGGCCTGGTTTACCCGTTCCTTTATTTTAAACCTTTACAGAATGCCAACGACTTAACGGTTTGTTTTCACATTTACAACATAAGACGAACATAATATGGACCTTATCTGACACAAAAACTCACAAAATTACATTTTGATGGCAGGTCCCCCTTAAAGCCAGACTAAAAAGGAAGGTCATGAGTTTCCGTTTAAAAATATGAACTGTAGGTGTTGCTCTCAGGTCTTCAGGCAGACTGTTCCACAGGCGGGGGCCAAAATAATAGAATGATGCCTCACCGTATGTTTTGGTTCTGACTTTGGGGACTATTAAAAGACCACTATCTGAAGACCAGAGGGCTCCACTGGGCTCATATCATAAAAGCAAATCAGATAAATAAGAAGGACCAAGACCATTAAGACATTTATAAACTAATAAAAGAACCTTAAAGGGGACCTGCCACCAAAATTTCATACCCATTTTTATCAATTTTTCATAATCCTTGATGTCCTCTGAGCATGTTTGCAACATAATTTTAGCTGAAAAGTTATTTGATGGTCTGTTTTAGTATGCCTAAAAAACCTTACAGGAAAACCAACTGGTTTTGGCTCATTAACATTTATGGTAATGAGCTTTGCTCTGATTGGATCGCTGCTGTGAAGCCTGCTGTGCTCTGATTGGCTCAGCAGTGGAGGTTCGGATTTCGGTTTATCCACTGTTATTATGCTAATGCTAATAGCATATGCTAATGTGTGCTAAAGTAAGGTGCCCAGATGTCTGTAATGATATCCGGGGATATTCGGTGCGGCGGCGGTGGTGCAGGGGCTGCAGGGGCTGTGTGATCACAGACAAAGTCTCGGTACTATTTAGTAGCAGCGCATGCCCCTTGTAATAACCCCCGTAAGAACTGTTGTTCAGGACTGCTAACTAAATTCGGCTACTGTAATAACCGTTGTTCGAGCCCACACGCAACATTTTTGCTCTCATTAATGAAACGCTTAAATCGGGGACATTTTCGGGGACAGCTTTTGCCGGGGACAGATCATCCAATACGGGGACTGTCCCCGGAAATCGGGGACGTCTGGTCACCTTATGCTAAAGGCTAAAAACGGCAGGTATTAAACCATATATTTTAGACCCCGAGTCCAAAGAGGAGGTGGAAGTTGAGGAAGAAGCCGGAGATCTCCAGCGGTGTTTTCTCATTCATTCTGCCCGGCTTTAAGTTCATTTTCCCGGCAGTAAACCGAAGGAAACACCGATCGTTTGGAAGGGACCCATAGCGGATACAGCGGTAGCTGGGTCTCGCTCTGGCTGTGACTGAGTACGAGAACGAGAGAGTGGGCGCGGCTAACCGAGGACGAATAATGAGCAAGGTCGGCGCAACGTAACACCGACGGGCTTTTTCAATTGGCCTGGTTTACTCGTTCCTTGATTTTAAACCTTTACAGAATGCAAACGACGTAACGGTTTGTTTTCACATGTACAACATAAGACGAACATAATATGGACCTTATATGACACAAAAAACCCCAAAAATTACATTTTTATGGCAGGTCCCCTTTAAAATCTATTCTAAAAGACACAGGAAGCCAATGCAGAGACTTTAAAATTGGTGTAATGTGGGCTCTCCTCCTGGGCTTTGTCAGCATGCGTGCAGCCGAATTTTGCAGCAGCTGAAGCTGTGAAATGTTATTTTTAGGAAGACCAGATAGGAGAGCATTACAATAATCAATTCTGCAGGTAACAAAAGCATGGATAAGAGTCTCTGCATTGGCTTGAGAGAGAAACTGGCAGACTCTAGAGATGTTCTTAAGGTGATAAAAAGCCCTTTTGGTGACATCACGTATGTGTGATTCAAAGCTGAGGTTAAAATCAAATATAACACCCAGATTTTTAACTTTTTTTCAGGGATTAAAAGACAGTACTCGGAGTTTGTTCTCCAGTTTCTCTCTCTCTGAACCTGTACCGATGACTAAAACCTGGGTTTTGTCCTGATTGAGCTGCAAGAAGTTGTCTGCCATCCAGGACTGGACATCTAAAATACAGTTAAAAAGGGCATCAATGGGCCCTGTGTCATCAGGAGACACAGCCAGGTAGAGCTATGTATCATCAGCATAGCTGTGAAAGTTAATGCCGTGTCTCCTGATGACATCTCCTAATGGTAACATAAATAGATTAAAAAGTGTGGGGCCTAAAATTGAGCCCTGGGGAACGCCACACTCCATTTCATAGGTTCTTGATGAGCGTCCCCCAGTGCTAATGTAAAATTCCCTGCCATTCAGATATGTTTTAAACCAGCTAAAAACAGTACCAGAGATGCCAGTGTAGTTTTGGAGTCTGTTTAAAAGAATTGTATGATCCACCGTGTCAAAAGCTACACTCAGGTCCAACAGGACTAAAACAGAAATTAATCTTTCATCCATGTTGGACCTGAGGTCACTTACAATCTTGACCAGTGCCGTCTCTGTACTGTGATTTTTCCTAAAACCAGACTGAAATACATCACCAATATTTTTAGAAATCATAAAATCATTTAACTGGTTAAAAACAATCTTTTCTAAAATTTTGCTTAAAAATGGCAGGTTGGACACAGGTCTGTAATTATTAGGTAGCTCAGAAGGGGTCTGACACAGGCCGTCTAAAAGGCAGTGGGAAAGATCCCTGTTTGAAGAGAATAGTTTACAATATTAATAATGTCATCCTAAAAAACACTAAAAGAGGTCTTAAAAAGGGATGTGGGTGTAGGATCTAAAACACAAGTCACTGGTCTAAGATGGGAGACAACTTCCGCAATCTCTGCAGCATCAACCAGGGCAAACCTGTCCAGTGTCTCCCCATTTAAACACACAGACTCAGAAGAGCTAAAATCATCAGGCTTACTGTTAAAAAAGTTTGACCTGATAACATCAATTTTATTTCTGAAGTGGACTGCAAGGTCTTCACAGGATAAATCTGAATTAAAAGGTTGCTTAAAAACAGGATTTGTTAATTGGTCAATGGTTGAGAAAAGGATTTTGGGGTTATTGCAATTGTCATAATTTTGAGAAGTGGTCCTGTCTTGCTTGTTTTACTGCTCTGTTGTAAGTGGTGATTTGATCCCGAAAAATCTGATGATGTGCTTGTAATGTATGTTTTCTCCATCTGCTCTCTGCAATTCTGCATTTTCTCTTTAATCTGAGGACCTCGCTTGTTCTCCATGGTGGTTTTATGTTTTGTTTGATCTTTTTCAATTTTAATGGTGCAACATCTATTACTGACTTAAGTTTCTGGTTTAAATGGTGAACAATAAAATCACAAGCAGAGGGTAAAACAGCCACTTGGGACAGCTCACCAGAAAAATTGCTCTGGGAGATGCCGGCACGAACTGTGATGGTGCGCTGGAATGATCCAGACGCAGGAAAATGCAGTGTTACAAGGAGGTTTTCCACAAGTAATCCATAATTTTTGGCTGGCTCCAAATCAGCCTTTAAGTCAGCCAGCAGTTCAAAAATTGCATTACTATTACTATTACTCTACTACTTTTAGTTCTGACTGTCCAGATATGTTGATATGTGCACAGAAAACTCTCTCACTCTCCATCGTCTGTCATTGCACATTTGACTCCTTCTCCCCACAATGACCGTAGCTATTTGTCTGTAAAGGTATGCCAGTTTGCACCTGCCTTTCCAACATGTTAAATATAGACGCACAAACAGCAACCACAATCAGTTTCAGGGTTTGATAAATCGCATTGCGGTGCTAAATAATTTCATTTGCATCTCTTCCTCCTACAAGTATTTTACGCGTTCTGATAATCTGCATATATTCCACGTATTCATCAAGGCAAACACGCTAAATGGATTGCGTGTGCTGTTTTCTTATTTGACAGTCGGTGCACCCGGTTAGTAGATCAGCTTTGTGCATGCTATCAAGTTTGCACGTGTTTTTATGCACGCAAACCTTTAATAGATCAGGCCCTAAAATTCAGTCAACACAACAGAGGAGACAAGACCAGATTAAATCATGAAATGGTGCTAAAAATAATTTAAAATGTAGGAATACACAAATTCATATTTGGGGCTGACTGTGACTGACTGTTTACTGGTCCTGTGTACTAGCCCTACATGGGTAATAGCCCTGACATTTAAAGTATTCAAATACATGTTTACACATCTTTGCTTTATAGATTACTACATTTAAAAATAAAAAGATTATTTTTATTAAAGTAATTCAAATTTGAATTTATCCTCCTGCATTTAAAGTTGCCCCAGAGAGAGAAAAGCTCTCAACTGTAACAATGAACCAGGATTTGGACCCAAAAGCTGGACTCAGGAGGCAGATAAAAGTTCAAAGTGGGTTTTATCAAAAAAGGGTTCGGTACACAGGTAGGCAGTCACACAGGCAGAAGTATCCAAATTAAAAGGCAAAATCTCAGTCCAAAAACACTATCAAAGTCAAAAAACAGGGAGGCAAACACAAGGGAAATGCTGGAATGTTTGACACAAAGGAACAAAACGAACTGGCACAGAAGGGAGAGAGGGCTGAACATAACGTTTTTCTCAGTTGCTTCGGTGTGTTTCTCACATCACTATTAACATTTGCACAACAGTTGGTGCATTTCTCAGAACAATTAGTACAAACTGCAAAACCTAATGGATAACCTGCAAAAGTGCGCCACTTGCCCAAAATGAATAGTTGATTCCTCAAAAGCAAGTATTCATGTCAATTAAAGTGTCTGTGTCATCAAAATAATAAGTCCCGACACCATTGTTTATGTACACGACAGTCAAATGGTTTGTCATGTTTTCATTATGACAGTTTACTCTCTCTGTGTTTTCCAATGCAAAAAAGTTTGACCTGTACAGCTATTTGAAAACTACAGCAAATTAACACATTACTGTATTTTGTGAGGTAACTGAGTACATGACACATGTTTCGCATATTTACTGTATATGATCTTTGCAATTCTACAGCATTGTGCAAAAAAGAAAAAAAAAATTACAGTCACTCATTTAGAACAAACAAGAAATACAATTTTGGTAGATCTGTGCACAAATGTAAACAACATAACAGTACATATTACTGTAAACTATAATATATGGGTGAGGACATCATTTTCTGAGATGGCTGCACACATTCAGACATTCCCCCCCTCATTGGCCTGGGACATCAATTGTTGTTCTCTGTCCAATTCTGTTTCTTCCACGCTTCTGCCTTTGGCCAGATTGAAACCTGCCTCATCAATGTAAATGAATGTGTGCAGTGGTTCCCTGGCCCTGGCCTCTAGCTGCAGTATACGCTTTATCCCAGAAGAGAGGGAGAGAAAAAAAAAAAAACAATTGAAAGAACTTTTCCTGTGTAACATAATGCATTTTTAACAACATAGTGTACAGTATGTAGCCTACTGTGAATATACAGAACTGTTACGGTAGGTGTACTGCAGGGAACCACACAATGTGAACAGTTTATAGTTCGGAACATTAGAGTGTCCATAGAAGGCACAATCCGGCTTTACCTGTACATACTGGTGTTGGGTCTTTTTCACTCTTTCGCTGTTTCTTTCAAGTGGCACCTTGTAAAGTTGTTTCATGCGCATACCATTCCTCCTGGTCACTCTGTCAATTGTTGGGATCGAAACAGATTTAATATTGCCAAAGATATTGTCATCCTCTATAACGGCACTTTGAATCTCTCTTAATCGTATTGCATTGTTTGCAATCACCATTGCTCAAATGGCTTCCTCTTGTTGTGGAGTAAAAACAGGCCCCCTGCCACCTCTGCAAGGTTGTGATGCAGTCTGATGTGTTGCGAAGTAAAATTATAGTGATGTACAGTAAATATGAGATATAGTAAGGTATTTGATTACTGTCCGATACTATACGTACCTGTTCTCCCTATGAAATGTTTGAATGCTGGAATTCTCAGTGGTTCTCCCTACATTTGGTTGCACCAGTCGACCAGCCTCAGCCATAATGAGGCCGTGATTGACAATATGGTCCACAAGTGTTGCCCTAATTTCATCAGGGATTTGCCTATGTACTTCACTTCTTCTTCCTCTGCCCTCTGCATTGTCCCCTTCCCCTTCCCCCCTGCATTCTCACCTCTCCTCCATGTGTCACAGAATTGTAGAAATGGTACTCGCTATGTCCTCCTTGGTTTATATATATTTGCCAAGTGAGGGTTCATTGGATTCAGCTGTGAGTGACTCTGGACAAGTGGCTGAGGCTCACCTGAGAGCAATTGTTCAATTTAGGAGATATTTTCAGGAAAGAAAATGATAAAGAAATGTAGGAAATCAGCCTGACAGATTTTGACAACTCGTTCAACAGTTTTGTGTGTAACGTCTCAAGCAATGAAATGAGGACTATTAGTTTCTATAGGGAATAACTATTTAGCATTCATAAGTATATTTCATTTTGACTGACATGACAGGAACAAATGATAATGTTATAAAACAGCAGAGAATTGTATGAAAGTAACTGATACATGTCCAAGAGCATTTGCATTTTGTTCAGAGGAATGAGAAACTACTATGATGATGTGCACAAATGACTCAATGTTGTGGAGGTTGAACTAATAGTTGTGAGAACTCTGATCTGAGAAATGCACCAAAGCAACTGAGATAACTGTAAATACACACAGGGAGTGGAGATAACAGGCACACTACCACACTAACACAACACAATGACTCATACATCCTATTTGCTGCACAGTGTAACTTACAGTGCAAGGCTCTGAGGGAAAACCAGAGTTCCCGCACTGAAAAAAAAAAAAATTCTCTGGACCAATCAGAGCAAAGATTTCTATCACGGCTAACCACAGTCTTCTTCTGAAATAGACCACTAAGTAGCATTGGTGCCATTCGGGTACATGGGGGGTGGAAGATGGGGGGCTGGGGATGGCACAGCTGAATCTACCACATCTAATACTATAGATAAGAAGGGGGGCTTGCATAGCTGGAGATCCGTAAGTGTTTGGTGTAGGACGTCTTTCTAACACTGTTTGTCTATCAAAGTGTACCCCTGTCTCACGTCTTTCCTATAGTGATTATATTTCCATTATTACTACCTGACACTAGATGCAATAGGTGATAAGTTCATACAAGTCTGATTCCACAGCCTTACCTTCCTTGATGTCTTCATCCCTCTGAATTTGTCTCCTCCTTCCTGTTCCCCCTCTTTTAATCCCCTTTAAGGTACCAAAAAGTTTGATACTTGCAACCACATCCGAGCCTACCAGTACTACAGTGAGAGCATCGTCAAACCAAGAGGCTTTGTGGGATACCCCTGCCCTGATAAAGACAGTTTCGCAAAGGTAAGTTTTTGGTAAAATGTACACACTCAAATGTTTAGTTTTTCTTGGTGCTTGTGTAAGTCTTGTAAATTACCTTTAAAAACAGCCTTGATGCTGTAGCTATTATAGACTCAGCTCAAATTCTCCAAATGCTATGAAGAATAATTTCAGTGCTTCTAAAATCTGTCAGACACAACAAGAGGAGAAGCGCTAAAAGTCATTTTGAATCCTCCGAGTTTTGCACTGAAAAGTCCTCTTGTTGCCATCCAGTGAAGGAAACATGTTCCCAAATGCCCTCTTTCCCTGGAGGCCTTCCAAGAGAAAAAAATATGTATGTGCACAGAAGGATTCATTTTAGTTTGACTTTCACATAATTAAACTCCCAACAGAAACAGCTCACTTATGTTGTAGCTGTCACGTGGCTTCACATCTCGCCTCAGTGTGTGTGCTCGGACTGAAATATGTCTAAAGGGAACTTCATCCATGAGTGTTTGTGAAACTGATGGAAGCATACTCATTGCTGACTTTATTAAAGCAATATCCAGCTTGAGAACCTTCTCTCTGGTATGGACTTTTTAGTTTGTATCATTGTTTAAGTTTCAGACCTTCCACAGAAAAAGTTCAGATACTCTTTACAGAGGGGTCTAACCAACATACCAGCATGAGACAAATGGATCATTTTCACCTTAAATAGTGCTAACACTCTATATTCATGTTCAAACTATGTGTGTTTTAATTCGATCAAAAAAGGAGTTACTATAAGCTTTTGTTTTTGTGGTAGAGTGGCAGAGTTTAGCAACAAGAGGTGAATAATATGATACATAATGAAGAAGCTGATCTCACGGGGTCTCTGCTTCAAAACTTCATGTTCCAGCAGCTCTGATGACCCCTGCTGTGGGTCTGGTTGTAGTCGTAGACCCATGCTGCTGGGGTCTTCAGTCCTCAAAGATAAAAAGTGACTTAGTGTTATCAGATGGGCTCAGAAAGAGAGAGCACTGCAGGAGGAGCAGAGGCCCGTCAATAACTCCAGCAGCTTGGCATGTGTTTGAGACCGCCACCTGTTCCTGTGTGATACTGATATGTCTGTGAAACTTTTCTTTGCTTTTCAGAAGTTGATTTGGCAGATTGGATTTTTGTTGTGATGGAGGAGGGCAGTGTAAATGGGCTTCCCTCCTGTCTTCCTTGGGGAGGGCTTGTCTGCAGCTGTCTGTGTTAATGACAGTTTATCCCTGCTTTAGACATATGTCCCTGATCAAAGGTGGCTGGCAGAGTCCTAAACTTGACCTCATATGACTATGTCCTTGTTGAGAGATGACAGCACCTCCTTGTTGTTCACCTCATAAATTCTCCCTGCTGCTGTTCCTGCAGCAATAGCTGACAGCCGCAAATCCGCCTGTTCCCACCAGTGACATTTGAAAAACCAGCACCGTTCCCTACCGCTACATCTATAAGGTGGCAATCTGCAACATTTCTAAAGAGGAAAAGAAAGAGTCTTGTAGGGTTGACACATTTCACTGCCTGTTCTTTGACAAACAGTGACTGTAGCACTTCATCATACCAAGAGCTGTGTCTTTATACATCACTGTGTCCTTATCTCCACAGGGAAAGTGTTTCCCGTGTGCAGATAAGTGTCCCATGATGGGCCACTCTGCTGACAAGTTCACTGTGACTGATGGCGTTTCCAAGACAAGCTACTTCCTCAACACGGGCAAAACAAATCCCTTTGGCAGTAAGTACCCTGTCCTCCCTGTTAGAGCAAAAATAAAAGAGTGACTCCAACACAGTTTGAAAGACCTGACAGTTTTGATTTTACTGTAAAAAAAAAAAACTGAAACAGGCATTAAGGGTCTTAATCTATGAATGATTTCAACAGTCCAACATGCATCTTCATCTATCCAGACGAGAGAATGCAGGGTGCATACCAATAAAACAGTGTCATCAGCATAGAAGTATAATAAATCTGAGGGACATCCCGCAGTTCTGGGAATTTTTAATGCCATCTTTTTCAAGCTCTCTATGAAAAATTTAGAGGTCAAGAGTTTTCAAATACCTCAAATTGGATTACTGTCAGTTTTCACATTCACAATCACATCTTGCATCAAAGAGCAGGGCACACTGATAAAGAAAACTAAGGTCAGGATCAAAAGACTAATACTACATTATTCCTATTATTGGAGCCTACAGTAACCTTACATGAGTTAAGGCTGAAACGGTTTATTAACTTCAGGTTAGGGCTGGAATTGAACCAATAACCACTGTGGGGTTCATGGTCTTATCCCGCTCGTCTTTTTGCATGCCCACACTGAAGCATGATTAAAGTTACCTTATTGGTATGCTTATTTTATTATTATTATTATTTTAAGATGAGTAGTACATATTTATATACTTGGCTTGTACTACTTATCTTTTTCAAAGTATACTCTTAAAAAGATATATGGAAGCATTCACTGACCAAGTACCTAAAGCACAAATACATACTTGAGTATATATTGATCAAAAGTTAAAGTATAAGTTAAACTAATTTAGACTTCGAGTATAATTCTTGGACAAGCCAAGTACACTTAACAACTAAAAACATAGTTTAAAGAGAGTATACTTGAAGCACACTTCAAGATACTTCTTTTTTGTAAGGAATCTCATTCCTCTTGGAAATCTGGCTAATTTTTATTAGTGTTGAATAAAGATGATCCAGGGTGCAGACCAGGAGGTAGAGCTTCAGTCTTACACACTCCTCTGAACCTCCTGTGGACCAGTTCCCAGCCACTACAACACTGAGACAGTGTCTGTCCCTGACTCAGACCCTTCATTAAAACAACCCAGACTCAAAGGCCTATTTATAATGTTCGACTGTTCAGGGATGACAAGGACAGACTCAAAGACAGGGAGACAGCACACATTATATCTGATTTTTCCTGGTGTCATCTAGTCAACCTCCTCCATGATTGGTCGGCTTCAATCAGGAAGTATGTGATGTCTGTCGGTCATGTCACAGCAGGAATTTACGGCTCTGTGATCACCTGGTCTGACAGGACGACTGTCATAGAGGACAGAAATCTCTGACCCTAGAATAAGCATATAGCCTTCTTATTATTGTAATGTCAAAACAGCTTGCTGTTATCAAAGAAGCTTGGAACTAATCATCTTTTACTTATTTATCACCCACTTGTGACATCCCCTACTGACTATTCAATATTATGAAGACTTAGCAAATCTAGATTCCTTTACCTTCAGACCCTGAAGCAACATTCTCGTCTTATGACCCATTGCTAAAAGCTTAAAATAAAAGAGGAGTGATCTTAACAGCATATTTACAGAGCTTTGGAATGACCCCCAAGAGTTGAACAAAGTGGTAAAAGTTTTAGTGCTGTTAGTGAGATCATTGTCATCCAACGCTGTGCTGCAGATTCTCCTTAAAAAGTATCACTCCCACCCTGGAGAACAATGTGTCAGGATACTACATGGGACAGCAATCTGACTGCTTGACCTTTTTTGATGGACCAAAGGGCCACTGGTGGTGGACGGCTCCACTCTCTTCACTGCAGGACAGAAAGATTCAGAAGATCTTTTGTACCAACAGCCATCAGACTTTACAATTCTTCTGGAAATAGTAGATGACTTTTTGACAAATAAAAACTAAAACTACAGACAATTGAATTTCCCTTTGGGGATAAATAAAGTTCTTCTTATCTTCTTTCCATTTCCAGCCTACAGCTACAAAGCCCTGGTAACTATAGATGGTCCTAGCTATCCAAACCAAGCCTTCATGTATGTGGCACTGGCTGGAGAGGACGAGAGCACCCAGGAGTATAGACTTCATGTGTAAGAACATCATGATTTTGCTCTTTAGGTTAAAACTAACATTTCATCACTGATCAGGTAAAGTGAGTTTCTGAGCTTCTGAGAATCTGAGCTTGTTACCAGCTTTAGCTTTTTTATTTTCAATGTGACATATACATCCAGAGCAAATTCAAAGCTCCTGCTAAAGATCTTTGAGAAGCAGAAGTATTTTTGAGGGAGTGTAAGCTTTTCTTTCAACACTGCAGGGGGACAATGATGCCTGGACGGACCTATGAGTTGCTGATCGATGCTGAGGTAGATATGGGGGAAGTGACAGAGGTGAGATTCAGGTGGAACAACCACGTCCCAAACATCATGAATCCAAAGTACGGAGCATCTAAAGTGGAGCTGCTCAGAGGAAGGGACAAGAAGATGTAAGTTTATATCTTCTGTATGACTTTGAAGGTTAAGGTCATTGTGGGAAGAGTCTGTGGCCTGCTATGTAAACACTGGTATCACACATGAAATGAACTCTCTTTTAATGTTGTCAACTATTTGGGCATCTGAGAGTTGGCTCAAAGTCTCAGTCAAGAAGTACACATAGTATGGGGGTGCACAAGCATTCAGAACCAGGGCAGGCCCCCCATGTAGGAAAACAGTGTTTTTTTCTGGACATTGACCTGGTTTTAGTGAGGATCTTTGGTGATTAAATTAATCAAATTAATTTCTGGTGGCAGAAAAATATTCCTATATTTATTGCCACTGACTGTCAGCATTGAGCTGAAAGATTTCTGTTGACAAAATCCTTTGAATGTGATCCATCCAACATTATCCCACAGTATATTTCTCCATCACTCAAGTTAGTAGATCTAACTCAGACTGTCAACGTTTTGGGCTTTTTAAACTTCAATATTTTTAATGAGTTGATACATATTGAAATAAAAGCAAAAAATACAACCTGGATTCAAAAACAGGGGGACACGGTGTGTAATGTTGATACAAACAGAATTGAATGGTTTGCAAATTGCCCCAAACCACATTTGATTGGAAATATTGCAAAGACATCTTTTCAGTGTAAAAAGTCAGATTGGATTTCATCATCTACAGTCTATAATATCATTTGAAGATTCAGAGAATCTGGAGAAACCTCTACTTAAGGGACAAGGACCAAAACCAAGACTGGATGGTCCTGATTTTCAGGCCCTTAGGCAGCACTGCATAAACAACAGACAGACTCTGGAGTGGAAATCACTGCATTGGCTCAAAATCACTTCAAAACCCAACACAATTGATCACTGCGTCCACAAATGAGGTTAAAACTGAACCATGAAACCAGATAGAAACGGGATCCTGATACTGTTTGAGGTGTACCTCTAAAGGGGTGTTCAGACCAAACGCGACCAGGTCGTGTCGCGTTGCGTTGGTCGGTCGCGTGGCGCGGCGCCCTGGTGTGTTCACAACGGGTCCAAAGCTGCGGTCGCAGGACGCGGCTGGTCGCCGCTGACCCGCTTCTCCCACCTTCTTTCTCCCTCCTTTCCCCCCTTTTACATACATCCCGCAGCCCCTTCTAGCGCTTGCGGCACACACACACACACACACACACACACACACACACACACACACACACACACACACACACACACACACACACACACACACACACACACGTTGAAACATGTAGCCTAGCAAGCAGGGGATGTTTGCTATGTTTTCAGAAAATACTCTGCTCACTGAAATAAATAAACAAACGACCAGAAAGCCCGAAATCATGGGCCACCTTCACCCATGCCTCCTCCTTGGAGGTGCAGTCCCGGTAAAACGCGCACCCCACGTCGTACAGGACCGGGTGATAACTCACGGCAGTGATGAACTGCTCCTCCATTGTGATTCTTCTTCTCCTCCTCCTTGCTTCGCCGGTTTGTTGACGTCAGCAGAGCCCTGATTGGCTGCCGCGACTTGGAGACCAGGTCGCGTCGCAGGCAGCCGGCGGTCGCCAAGTCACGTCAGGTCGCAGCTGTCCATAGACTTTGCATTGGGAGCCGTTGCAGACGTCGCGTTTGATCTGAACACCCCTGAAGTCACAGGTAGTAACACAGACTAGCTGTTCCACTAGAGGGCAGCATGGCACTGTGCCTGATGTCCCTTGCTGCTTTTATATATATATATATATATATATATATATATATATACATATATGTGTGTGTGTGTGTGTGTGTGTGTGTGTGTGTGTGTGTGTGTGTGTGTGTGTGTGTGTACTACAGACCAAAAGTTTGGAAGCAAGGCCATTACAGGCCGAACAGTTTGGAGTAACTTCAAGTTTTTGTTCACCAGCATCATACCAAAGTCCAGCATGAGTTGTATGTATTTTGGGATGTATTTACTCCATGATCAGATGTTGCTTTTATGGAAATTTTACCATTTCACTCCATTTACCTTTAGATATACATTGATGTTAACAGACCATTGCTTAATATATGTCAGCAAAAGATAATAAGGGCTTAGTTTTAGGGTTCAAAACATTTGCAAGAGTCACAACTTCAGTGCAAAAGCAAAAAAACAAATCACAGTTGGATTATTCACTTCAACTTTTTGGTTTTGAGAGTCTGCATAGTACAGATTTGTACATTGAGGAAAGAAGGATACACAGAAATAGAAATTGCAAAACGCCTAAAGGTGTTTAACAAAGGAGTCCACTACACTCTGAAGAGACTAGAGGAACCTGGAAGTTATAATGAAAAAAAACATAGCATTGTCACCAGTAAGAGAGATCAGTGAAAGACAGCACCACAAATAAGGGAGGAAATCAACATGACAAGGTCGAAACCCATATCTGACAACCGTGAAATGACGTTTGAGAAAGGCTGGTCTGAAGGGTTGTGTATCTGCAAAAAAACGCTACTTCGTCCACAGAATAAGAAAAAGAGATATGATTGGGCAAAAGCTCACAAAAATTGGACTTATGATGACTAGAAACAAGTTTGCACGGTTTGGTTTAAAACGCAGAGTCTATGTCCGCAGACAAACTGGTGAACGTCTGAAAGCACCATGTGTTACACCCACAATTCAGCATGGAGGTGGTAGTTCCATGGTATGGGGATATTTTGCAGGTGATGGAGTACGAGATTTGTTTGAAGTAAAAGGTATTATGAAGAAGGAACAGTACCACTCCATCCTCCAGCACCATGCTGTTCCATCTGGACTCAGACTTGTGGGTCCCAAGTTTGTTTTGCAGCAAGACAATGACCCTAAGCATTCTGCCAAGCTCTGTCAGGGTTACCTAGACAAAAAAGAAGAGGAAGATGTTCTTCAAAAGATGGTTTGGCCCCCCTCAGTCTCCAGACCTTTCTCAATTGAGCTTGTGCAGGATGAATTGGATCGATCGGTCAGAAAGGTGTGTCCCACGAATCAGCAGTATCTTTTTAATGAACTTAAGAAAGCTTGGAATACAATCCCTGGAACATACCAAAACTTGTGGAACGAATGCCTGGTATATGCCAAGCTGTTGTTAAAGCCAGAGGAGGTTACTTTAAAGAAAGCAAAGTCTAAGCAACAATAACTCAAATGCCTAATAATTATAGTCAAAATGTCTTCTGATTAGTTACTCTTTACACAATAGTCATGTTTATTGTGTTGCAAATTATATATATAAAACTTTGATCTTTTTTTGTACAAATCTGATCTTGCTTCCAAACTTTTGGCCTGTAGTAAATATATATAAAGTAGAGAGGGTAATAGGTAATGGTTAATTCAACAGAGAGGGGCATTGTCCCTCAGTCCAAGTACAGTCCAAATCTGAAAAAGAAACAACACTTCAGTGATGGAGGTGAGGATATATGATTGTGCTATAAATCAAAACAGTAAACAAAAAAAAAGAAGAAGAAAAATGTATTTTCTTCTTTTTCCCTCCTCCTCACAGCTTCCATTTCTGTGGAACCAATGCCGTGGAGGAGAACGAGGTCCAGTCTGTGCTTCCCTGTCCAGTCTAACCTGCTTCAATAACCCTGCCACTGGGAGTCCTTTAATAAAGATTTACATTCAAACATATTCATCTCTCTCTCTGTCTGATACTCTGCTGCTGCTGTGATGATGATAAGTACTATAAAGACAAAAGGAATACAAAAAAACAGCAGTCATGGCTCTGAAGAGATAAAAAATGACCAAAAATAGAGAAAGCTAGACTTTCTGCAGAGTGATGGACACCTTAAAAGAAACTTAAAATGATGATGAGGGGAAGAAGAGAGGCAAGCATACAGTGAGAAAAAAGTTTTAGGGTGCTAAACAGGGAAGACAAGTTAGGATACTTCTGTGACTGATTGACCATTAAAGATATTAGAGTACTTGTAACAGTGAAGTGTTTCATGGGGCACCATATCAGCAGACATTAAAAAAACCCTCTGAGAGGAAATCGTCTAAAAAAGTGTCCTCCGGACCAAACATGACAGAGTGCCCTCTTGATGCCCTTGCACTGGATAAATCGTGATGTTCACTTACGTATGTGTGGTTGTAATATTCACTTTCTGAATTTCTGGATATGAAACATGCTTCTATGGTGGTGAACAAAAACACACTGAAATGGCCTCCAGGATCTGAGGGGAACACATGTGTAAGTCAACAAAACAACAATATTTGAGTAACAATAAGAACTGCAAATACACCACAAACTGTGACTCTGTACCATTGAGTTCTGGTTCAAGTATCTTTATCTGTAGGTTGGATTTAAGAGGTTTGTTGTGAGGGGACAACCAGAAACCTGCTGCAATAAAGACATTAATTTACTGAGATCATTTTTTGGCTGAAAGAGTTAATGGCCAACCTAAACCTGACTGCTTTCAACCTTTTACCACCCTGAGGGGTGTTACCCTAACACACCACATGAGGGTGTCAGAGGCTCAGAGATTAAGCAGTTTTACTGATCCTGACAGATTCACAGTCCAACTATCTGAGTCTGTGTCTGAGGACCTTCTGCTTTATGGCCCTCTGCAGAGGAGTCCTGCCTTCATATGTAAATCTGTCACTCCACTGTGAAGGCTAGAGGACTAGCCTTTTGATTGTGGGCAGAATGACGATGAGGTCAGATTATGAATGCCTGGAAATCAGGAGGAATAGTTGATCCTGCAGGGCAGTTCAATCAAATGAAAGGAGAAAGCAAAGGTTTACTAACATGATAACATCTTGAGGAACCCAGTAAATGTTGCTGACTGGTTTGTTTCCCTAAATCCCACAGCTTTAATGAAGCAAAACATTTCAATAATTTGTCTCGTACTTTGGAGGCCCTGTGATTTTTCTGTAAGATCCATTTAGTGTAAGCACTATGCATTGTCCAGTATTTTTCTGCCTGTGACGGTTGTGTCACAAAGGCTGTATGCAGCCTTTGGTGGGATAAATCAGGAGAGTTTTTTGTGATTAGCTGAATATCTCTTTTGTTCTGGGGGGTAATCTGTAAAGTCCTGTTCTCAGTGTTTGTAAAATCCTGGACCAGTTGAGGGTGAATGCTGATAAAAAGCTGAAAAGTGTGCGACATCGCCTCACTTGTGTCACCATGTAGACATTTTGTTTGAAAGTCATGAAAAAGGCTTCTCTCTCAAGCTCTTCAGTGATGAAGAGGCATGTCAAAAAACTTCAAACATGACTCATCGCTGGACGAATGCATGAATGGATGAATGGATGGATGGATAATCTAACAGTCTGATACACAGAATTTTGAGAAAAACCAGCATGTATTATTAAGTGCGATACAATGAGGGCATAAATAATGTCCCAATTGTTTTCACTCACACAGTGTTTTTGTCCCTCGGTGCTTACTGTAGTTCAGCAGGTGCAGCATCTTCCTGCTTCCTGCTGCCGTATTTAATTTCTCCTCTGGGTTAGATGAATGAAGTTCTTCTTATCTTACATGTGATGGAAACTTCAACACCACTGTGCTTTTGGATGGCACCGTTCACTCATTAAAGCTCCCACACGGTGCAGCCATCTGCACTGTGAATCAGACAGCGTTAAAATATCACCTTAGCTCAGTCAGCATAGAGGTGCAGCTAATCAGAGACGTCAGTGAGCATCATCATAGTGGACAGATTGATAATGTGTTCATTACTTCAGGCCTGTGACCGAAACTATAGAAATGTGCGGCACATGCATCTTTCTCCATATGTAACAGTGTCATCCTCAAAAAGACAAACCTGTCTTTGACAGAATAAATATTGAATGATATTGTACACTCGAGAGACTACTTCATAATGTTATGATTATGAACTTTAACATGGTTAAGAATGCAGTTAATTAGGATTCATCTCCACAGTGATTTCAGAAATGAATCTTTCAGAGCCCCTAAAACATTATTTGACTGTGCAGTGTTTAGTATCTGTTTGCAGAGGACTGGACCACCTTTTGAGATGTGCACCTATCTGTCAGTGAATCTGTCTCTCTCTGCAGCTGATGGAAAGAGTCCATGTTGGTTAAAGGGGTCCAGCTTTATGTGTGAGGCTCTTTAAGTGCCACGATGTGCCATGATCTGCCATGTGCCAGGCCAGCTACAACTTTTCTATAGATAGTCGATGACTTTTAGATTAACATGACAAATGACACGACAGACAATTGAATTTCCCTTCGTGGATGAATGAAGTTCTTATTCTTATCCTTATGTGTGATAGCTGCCATCAAAACAAGAGCCTAACTAAGTTCATCACATGCTTTAATTTGTAATGTCTAAGTGCAACATAAATATTCAGGCATGAATGTTTGACATAATAGGACCGACTTCACAGCAGCACAAATGAGCTTAAAGAGGATTTCTTTCGACCAACAGACATATTCATAATGTAAGTATCAGGGATTTTAATCACTAATCTGTCTTGAGATGATCCACCTGAGCCTTTAATAAAGAAACATAAATACATCTGACATTCCTTTAGTCCTAAACATTTCTAAAAGACCTGTCCAGTAATCTCTTCAAATGCATCAGCTCCATATATGATGGTATTAGTCTCAGTGACAAAACCAAAGGCTTCATAAAACAGACCAAATCACACAGTTTCTCTCATTTTAGGAGTTGAAACTGAAAAAATAAATCTTTTTAATCATGGCTGATTACCAGATCTGTGGCTGATTATTTCTTTCCCATTAACTTCATGTTTTTATTAAATGTTATGCTTTTCAACTTTTAAAACACTGATATCAAATTAAGGGTGATTTTTCATCTGATTTCTGTCAGCCTCTTATGCGGCACATGCTGAACAGCTACAGATCTGAATAAGATCTGTATCTATTCTGGTTGAGTCAAATGGAGGTCTTCAGACAAATTTGTTTGATCACATTTACAGAAACAAATCGACAAAAATTAAAATGTGTAAGTTAATGAAGCACCAAGGCCATCTTTTGTGAAATGAAAAGGATGTTTTGATGGGTTGAGACTTAACCTTACTGAATCTTTCTTCTTTGTTGAGGATTTATGACGTCGCTTTTCCTCCTAGATAAATCACCAGAATAAAACTCATCCCTTTATTTATCTGACTGCTAAAGTCAATGATGTTCACTGACCACAGATGTTTCCATCTAAACATTACCGATGATTCTCCTCAGCTCTTGGTAAGACGATGACTTTGCTCTGAGCTGAGCTTGACATTAAAATACCCCTTGACGCCTGGAAGAAAAAGAAAATTGTTTGCAGTCTTTTACTCCTGTATTTATTGTCGTTTGTTTGTGACTGCTTTATCAGTCAACAACCAGTGCACTAAATTTCTGCTCGGCTCTTTGAACAGTTTTATAAAACATGAGAGAAAAGCTGTTTTTAGAAGAGACAGTAAAATTAGACTCTTCATGAGCATTAATTTAAGTGACATTAAAAAGATTAATAAATAACTGACTTGGAAAACCCTCAAAAACCTTCAGTTCTTCAGCTTTTACAGAATTTGAATTAAGCAGGTTGATTTAGTTCATTATTGTGGTCCGGCTGACTTTGAATTTTGTGTAAAAGATGACTGAAGTTATTCTATTGTAAGCACCCTGAGCTAATAGATTAAGATTCTTGCAGTATCTCCCTGTTGACACATGAAGGTATCATCGCTCTTCATTCATACAGCGGAGGTGCAACGGGTGATACATGAATTGGACCAAGTCGCAGTTTTTTAACTTTGTGTCTTTGCTGCTTGTTGCTCATCTTGGTTCATTTTTTATTCCTGTTATATTCTGACAACAACACCTCTTTTTTTTTTTTAAGGAAAATTAAATCATTTATTTGGATCGAATACTGACTAAAATGTTCGACTGCAGCATGTTTTAAATGTCTGACTCTCATTAATAATTCATCTGGCTAAAAATTCTTCTTCTTCTTCTTCTTCTTCTTCTTCTTCTTATTATTATTATTATTATTATTATTATTATTATTATTATTATTAATATTACTATTATTATTATTATTATTATTATTATTATTGGCATCGTCAAATCGTCATTATTTTTATCATTGTAATTAATAATACCATAATTATTTGCATTAACTTTATCATTACCATTAAAAGTGGTAGTAATACTTTTATCGGCTGCTGTAAACAGTCATAAATAAATGTACTATATCCTGTTTCAGTAACACTCGAAAATCCAAGAATGATTAGATATTTGAAGGTGTTACTGAGCCTTAAAAATATCATGTAAATATTTATTGTATTTATTTTTATTTATTAGGGGTTTGGTGGGTGAGATGAACAGAAAGACATGATTTAGAAATGAACTAACAGGTTTGTTGTGTTATGGACAATCACAAAAAAATATCTTGTATGAATTATCAGTTCATGTTGCATTTCTCAAGCCTATTTATAAGTGATTAAAAAGTCATTCTGCCCATGTTGTTCTGCAAATGGTTTTGCATGTTTGTTCCGGGAGTTTGGATACAAAGAGAAATAGAGAGTGAGGGGCCTGATGCCATCCCAGGGTTTGTCAGTCCCTTCCGTGCTGGTTTACTTTGAGGTTACTGTTCAACAGCTGTATGCTACTCAATCAGCACTGCACCCAGCAGGAGTAGTCTTCTGAAATACTTCATAATTCAATACCTTTAAGGTGAGGTTAAACAACAGAGCAGCGCGGCTTTGCAGTCGAACCCACCGTGTTTTCAAACACTCCCAAAAGATTTGCCCTGATAAGAAAAAAATCCATCTTTGTTCAGACAAATGGTGGGCTGAGTGCTGAAAGAGGGTAAGAAAAACACATGATTTATTTTCAAAGCTTTCACGATGCTTTCCATTGTTCCCCTCACGCTTTAGTCTCGATGCACATTACCACTGCCAATGGGGACGTAACTGTTGCAGAGACACAAAGGAACTGCTCAAATTACACCTGTGACAATTACTACGGCAAGGCGCTGCCTGCAGGACAAAAGACTGTTATCTAAAACTACTCACAGAGAATGTACAGAAAAATCAATTACTGCTCGGGCTTTGTTGCAGGTTTGAGACTGTCTGGTATGTCACACTTTAAATATTGTACGGTCAACAGTGGATTAGTACAACAGCCCAGAGATATTTTCTCTCTTTAAAATGGCAGGATTACATGTGTCATAACTACAGGTGACCCCTGAACTCTGCATATCTCTCTGTTCTGTCCACATTGAACATTTTCTTTTATTCATATCATGATAGAAAAATAAAGAAAAAAAGTTTCTTAGGCCTTGACAAATTCCAACAAATTTCACAGCCAGCTTGTATCATGTTTGAACACATTTTAATCTGCATTATTCTTCTTACAAATGATGCAGGTTAATTGTTAAAGAAAGGGTGTTGAAAAGAGAAAATAAAGATATCTGACAGAGTTTGAATTCAGTTGTGGTTTAGCATCCTTCACACAGCCGGTTCAAAATAACTATCAAATTAAAGCCTGTTAAGCCTTTACAAAGCTCAATTAGCAAAGTAAAAAGTTTGGGCAATTTGTCAAGTGCTGAATAGTGCTGGAGTAGCACTGCACCTTGAGTGAAAACAATATAATTAGTTTGCTTTGGTATCATTAGGTGCCAGCTAGTAAGACAAAGGACTGAGCTACTTTAATTGCGTTTTTTTATTTAACAAAATGCGCTGTAATCTCCCGAAACAGCAGGTCACTGCAGTGTGAAGCGAACATCATTCACACTACAGCAAATAGTCGAGGGCTTTTCCCGAATGCACATCTGAAGCGGCTACAGATCAGAGAGGGGAACTATTCAGTGTTGGTGTGGTAGCCGCGAAAGGAAAGATGTTTTAGCTCACATGAAAAATCAACCAGTTTCTTTATGATGGGGCACTGGGATGAAAAACACTTCAGAAAATTACTTTACCAATTTAATCTGCAGCATGAGCTCCACATGCTACATGGATGGACATTATTTGCGTTTTACCACACTCTGGTTCCTTTTTTCAGTACACCCTATTTGATCGCCTGCAGCATCTTCCTGCCTCCTGCTGCAGCCCTGATAGCAACACAGCCGCCCCTTTGAGAGGCACATTTCACTTTAAAAAGATGACTCAGATGGCAAGTAAAAAGTAATATGCACATTGTCTCGAAGAGAATTCAAGTGTCACTTAACACTTCCAGTTTGAGCTCCCACCTGTGAGCGAAGCATACAGGTGCAGCTCATCAGCCTTAAGACAGTGGGTTACTGCATCACAGAGGTTGGCAGAGCACTATTTTGAAGAGTGATAATGTCGCAGACCTGTGGATGCACCTAAAACAATTGTGCAGGTGAACACGACTAAGAATGAAATTGATGGAAAACAACTACAATGTTCCTTAGACAGCACAAATCCAAAAGGTCATGTACTCCCGATACAGGTTTTTCTCAGATCAGACTTTATTGAACTTCAGAGATAAAATAAAATACAAATAAAGTTATTCTTAGTGGTAATAAGAGGACTTCAGTCAAATAGAGGCCATGTTTGTGTTACTTCTGCATGCATTAAAGTCATGGCATGGAGAGCATTGGCGAAGACAATAAACACAGCAGGCATCAATGAAAATACATATGTAAAACCAGACAGTCAAAGAAGGAGGAGATGGGATGGAGGCAGGTTTCAGAGGAAGTAAGAAGAGTAAGCAGGCCAAAGCAGTTTAAATCGAACGCCCATTTTGACATTTACTAATTGGATGTGTAGAAGGTAATCGGCTGAGCTGTCAGCTGATAGGGACTGGCAGTGAGATTAGCTGTACTGTGGGCTGAGCTCTACTTTAGGGTCTGCCTGAGCTAATGCTATGCACGATTTCAGCTTCACTATATTTCAGGATGAATTGACTCGAATCTTTCATAGTGTAGGAGGCAGATTCCCTCTTTGCCTGCAGACGATACCATTGTCAGCAGCCCTGGAACATTGTTTTTTTTTTTTTGTGTGTACTAGACACAGACTCACACAATGATTATTCTGTATGTTAGGTCAGCTGTTAAAACCAAACAGGTAAACTTTAACAGCCTAATAGAGGTTAGCATGTCTGTTTTCTGAACACCATCAGTAACTACAAGCACTCTGTATTCATCAGGCACCAAGGATTCTGAACCAAAAGGGCTAAAAATGTGGGATAAAAATTCCACTTTTTCACTGAAAACCATCAGTGCTCAACAATTTTTGAGCTCAGCTGCCAGCGTCGCCCTCCGCCACAGACCGAAGCAGCTCTTTATTCGGAGGGTTCAAGAACAGCTTGCTCTCTTACTGTGGAACATAATCATCACATTTATCAATGTAAAGCAGGCTTTGAATGTAACTATTCATCTTGAGCAACCATGTCATCGTTCAGACATTAAGGCTCTCCAAGACCTGTGCTTTCCACAGCAACCCAGTCTGTATGAGAGAACCTTAAAAAAGCTGTGGACCCCAATAACACTGCCACAAAAAGCAGACTTACTGTGGTTGCAGGACACACAATTGTCGTTTCTGTTGTTTTCTTTGACTGTGTTAACTGAAAATTCATGTATGTATCACACACTCATAGCTGAGGAGAAAGCCTTATAAATAAACATGCTGGCATCTCAGCCCCTCCTGTGCAAAAGCAGCCATTTCCTTCTCCAAAATGATGTGAAATTTCAACCCCTCATTCTGTTCAGCTGGCGTAAACAGTTCAGGATTCGATTAGACTTCCTTGGACATTGAATTTCCTGTGATGAACTACCTGAAACAGTGAAGTCATGGCATAATGATGGTTGTACTGTAATAGTGAACATAATGCTGCTGATTCACAGCTGGCGGGGGGTGAGCTGACCATCACAGATCCATGTGAGTGATGGTGGGTCCCCAGTGTGCCTTATCAGCAGAGGTCTCCTTGGTATGATGGTGCAGTCATGATCAATAGCCTGTTTGAATTGATTATGGTCATGAAGCCCTTTTTATTTATCCCTTATGTTTTAAAGTGGATTGTGACTATGACACCAGCCCTGATGCTGCTAATGCACTCTTATTAAAGATAATATGGTATTCACTGATCTGTATGGCTCGAGCCTCCATGTCCAGCTCGAGCCATGATGGTCCCAAGGGCCCTGGTTAATTTCAGGGCACCAGTTCCTATAGTGGACAGTGTGTCTCACAATAAGCTGCTGATTTTAGTGTCTTTTCTAATCTGCCTGTCTTTATGTTTTCAGCCATTGTATGTAAACACAATGGACAAGGTCAGAGAAACTAAGTGTTACAGACTGACACCAGCTGAATGCAGTGGGTTTCATATTCAGTGTGACTTGTGACATTGATGGTAAACACTTCTCAGTACACCTTACTCCAGAGTATTTAGCCTAATGGCTGTTGATGATGTAAGCTAATATTGATAATATCTCAGTTGGAATTGGAATTCAAGCTTTAGATGTAGTATGTGCGAGGGGAGAGGACTTTTATCATCACAGAGATCTCTGTAAGCTGTCACTTTCACGGTTTATTTTTGGTCCTCTACAAGAACATTTTCCTCCTTTTTTTTTACACACACACACACACACACACACACACACACACACACACACACACACACACACACACACACACACACACACACACACACACACACACACACACACACACATATATATTTAAGTTTCTGGTTTATTTTTGATACACAGTTTAATTTTAATCTTTTCAAAATGCCTGTGTTGGTAAATTCCCATCATCAAAATTGTGTTCACAGTTTACATGTTGTATTCTCTGCACAATGTGTGTGATATTTTGAAGAAAACTGAACAGGAGTCTTTTCTCTTCCTCAGCCTTTGTGTGTATTTAAGAGGCCAAGATGCTACGTCCTCAATCTATTTCCCAGGCTGGGGCTCTGCACCACAGCTTGAGAAGCACAGGTCTCTTATAGTCGCTCCCTTTTTAGCCTCCTTTTTACCTTTCTCAAACAATGGATCCTGCCCCACTCTAAACAGAAGCCCCCAAACACTCTGTGAATAAAGTTAGTCCAACATGCAGCCCTTAAACCCACCCCAAGACTGCTGCTGGGCAGCCACACTCTCAGAATTGTTTGTTAATAGTCCAATTAGATAATTGCCATCTTTCACTCCTTTTCCTCTCTGTTTCCCATAAAGGCATGAATGGCACTCGGGGAGGGGGGCTCTTTCAAGAGGGCTTCTGGCCAGCTAAGGTGACAAGAAGGGCCAGAGAAAGCTCCGTGCACTAGGCCACTAGTCTGAATTGAATCATTGTGGCCTAATCAATGGTCTTATTGGATTACTGGCCACTGCTGTGTTCAGAGATATTGTTGCGCTGACAATGAAAGTAGCTAGGAGTTTGAGGTTTGGCGGGTGGGTAGTGGGCTGGAAGGCGAGTGCTGGAGGGAGGTAGGGGCTGTTCCAGAGGTATGTGCGTGTGTGAGAGTGAGACTGTAGGCAGCCTAAGCACTAATGATAAGTTTTGTTCTTCAGTTTTTATCCTTTCAGTGGTGCAGGTTAAGATAATGAGAGCTAAAGATGGCCATGGCTCTGCAGTTCTGCCGCAGTTAAAAACTGAGATATGCATCGTTGGATGGGAGAGCCTCAGTTCTGACTAAACACAGGACCACACGGCGGACTCCAACTCAGCTCCTCTTTAAACAGGGCCTCGCTGCAGAGCTCAAACTGGCCAGGCTGGTGCCTTGGTTAATTTTGATCGATGTGGATTTGTTCGTTATTCTCTCCACTTGTCTCCCTCTCTCTCTCCCCCGCCCTCTCTCTCTGGCTCTCCCCAGTGCCTCTTGCCTACAATAGCATAGTGGTGAGATCTGCACATTGCAGAATATCATTATTTGGGGAGAGAGAGCCAAAGAGAAAACGGGATCAAAGTTCGCGGGAGGGGGGGGGGTCTTGGCCATGTTCTGCAGACGGAAGAATGAAGCACCCAGGAACTTTTTTCAGGTCTGGAAGAGTCATACCCCTGTGATTGTGTGCGTTCATGTGGGGTTCAGGGAGGGTTGGTTGCAAGACAAGACCAATCATTTGTCTTGATTCTCTGGGCTGAGAGCAGGTAAACTGAGAGGGACGGGACAAGCTAAACCCTCTATCAAACCTGATCTATTTCCCCAAACAGTTCACCGTATTCATGGGGTTACGCAAATGTGGAGGCAGCAAAACTACCGTAATCAATTGGAGCAGCGATTGCACACCTATGCCTCTGATTATTTGGAGATCATCTACCAGCCTGGTGTCTATGTAACAAGGAAAGGGGGGCACTGAATTACTGTTGAGTTTCATTGAGAAGTCCATGATCATTGGGCAGTGGAGTTTGGTCAGTGATAATAGGGCTCCTTGGTTGAGTGACGGAACTATTTGAGCAAACATTAGATAGCTGACTCTGCACTGCTGAAAGGTGCTGTTTTGATACTAAAACCCACACTGTCCAGACCATCTGGTGTGCCGTGTTCTGCGTAATCTCCTTTTTGTCATCTGACAAAGGAAAAAAGAGGCGGACAAGCTCCGAGAGGATAAACTGAGCATGGAGGTCAGGTACAACCAAGAGACGGATGCGATGGGGCTAAAGAATGGACTAAAGAAGGGGAAAGACGACAAGGAGTCCCAAGGCAACTTGTCCAAAAGCTTCCTCAAGGAGCAGCAGGACTCCTTCTCCTCCTCTGGGACCATAGATAACTGCGAGAAAAACAGGGGGAGCTCAGGGGATCCGGACTACTGCCGGAGAATTCTCGTCCGAGGTAGGGCTTCAGGTCTTTCTTCTTTTAGAGTTTGGAGCCTGCAGTGTCATATTTCAGAGGTTTTCACATGTAATCTGGCGCAACAGAGTCTCAACGGCTGTTAGATTAAACACATTTTACAGCAAGAACAAAGTTCAGAAATAAGCCTGCTAAATATCTGACACACTGCCGCTGCTACGCAGAGGGGAAACTGATCAGACATCTGTGATATATATATATATTTATATATATATATATATATATAAATATATATATTTTTGAAAGGCTTTACACTCTAAATTCACACAAAAAATATCACCATAAATTCAAAAAAAGATACAAGAATTATAAAGGTTAATTACAAAGGAAAAAAATATCACCCTAAATTTAAATAGACGTATTAATAATAAAGGTTAAGTTCGCATGACAAAAAATTAACCCTAAATTTAAAAAAGATATGTTAATTATGAAGCTACGCTTATTTAGCTTTACAGAGGTTATTTAGAATTAAGAGTGAATCCTCACATTTGTCGTTTGAAATACAATAACAGAAACACTATTTTTTGAAAACTAGAATATTTACCATGGTTCACTTTAAAGCTATAAAATCAGAGCAGTTGTCAAAAAGATGCCTCTTGAATTTGAGACTATCCAGCCCTGTCCTGAGCTGTTATTTTATTTATTATTTTTTTATGGTTTTGGTCATTTCTTCACTAAGGCTGACAAATTTCCCTGATTTCAAACTATATATATATATATATATATATTTCCCTGATTACAAACTATATATATATATATATATATATATATATATATATATATATATATATATATATATTTAGTTTGAAATCAGGGAAATTTTCTCTTTAAACCTAAATGTAGGCTGTTAAATGTAAAACATTTCTTAGGTTTATCGGGACGCTGCACTGTGTGTGAGGGTGACAGGGTTTTTACTCTGTATTTATTCCCTGACACTCTGAAGAAGATGACTTTTATTTAACATTCAAGCACATGGGAAAGAAGGTGAATTAATTTAATATTTCATGTCAAAAAATCCTCTCACAGATTGTGTGTACAGAAGTGAGCAGCAGTTAAAAGAATTCATGTATTTTTGTCTTTCATCAGTGTAGGCCCAACAAAAAGAGTGTGTGAAAACAAATGAGGAATACATGTCCACCAGAAACAGAGGATTAGTTCTGCAAGACACAATGAGGCACAGCACAGCACCCTCGCTCGTCTTTAAAATACAAACACACCTCTACATACATGCTTTCATATTTATCTTTCATTTTTGTCTTTTCATAATTCAATAATAGTTATTGATTTCATGCAGCGCTGCAGCCACTCTTTGTTTGCTGAGATCTATTCAATACAGGATTTTAGAAATGCTAATCAAATATTTTTTTAAATGTATAATTTAACAATAGTCATTGAGGTGTCTTGTAAACTTTAAACATATAGTGAAATTTATTTAAGATAAACTGATGTTCTTTTTAACACTTTCTCCATTGTTGTTTATTTTTCCATCTAGAGTGACGTGTTTCTTCTGAGTTATTCTGAATGCAGAGTGCTATAAGCCCATATAGACTTTATAAATACTCTGAACAAAGACAAACTGTTATGCATGAATATTGAGAGAGTTTTAGTGTGGTCTGAATTTGATCCTTTTTTAAATGATATCATAGTGGATCTTCTTCTGATAGAACATGGTTCAATAATAATATTTGTGATCATGTGTGTAAGAACAGTCTGTATTTAGAAATAAACTGCAGTGGTTTGTTGTTCCAGCTCCTTCAGCCTTTTTTACTGCTTTGTCATTAACATAAATTGCTGTTTACTGCAGATGCTAAAGGCTCAATACGAGAGATTATCCTGCCCAAGGGTTTGGATCTGGACCGGCCTAAGCGAACCCGCACCTCCTTCACAGCAGAGCAGCTCTACCGGCTAGAGATGGAGTTTCAGAGGTGTCAGTATGTGGTGGGAAGGGAACGGACTGAACTGGCCCGTCAGCTCAACCTGTCTGAAACGCAGGTGTGTGTGTGTGTGTGTGTGTGTGTGTGTGTGTGTGTGTGTGTGTGTGTGTGACACACATTTCCACTTGTGAATTCATTGAATGAAAAATACAGATTATTTGGTGCATAAACCACTGTGCTCTAATTTGAACTGAAATATCAAGTAAAAGGCGATGGTCTTTGTTTTGTAAATTCCTATTTATGCAGAATTTAAACAAGTGTTCTCAGTTGAGCTGATTTCACATAAAGCTAATTATGAGTTCATTCTGATGGAGTTTCTGAAATGTAAGGCCTGTTTGACATTCATCCTGGCAGACTTGAAGCTGATGTCCAGTAATTATATTTACAGAAATGCATGTTCATTTATAAGAGCAGTAGCTGCAGTTTAGTTTGACATTAGCACACCTGCATGTTGGGTTCATTTCAGCTCAAAGGTGTGCTTCAGCTCTGCCTACAGTTCATATTTGGATGTGTGTAAATCGGAGGCGAGTTTTTGAACTCAGTCTGACATGGCGTTGATAAAGCATATGGGGTGTTGAACCTTATCACCTCAGGCAACTGAACTGAGCTTTAAAAAAGTGCAGACCTCCTCTTCATGTCATATGTGTGGGGTCAGCAATGGGTCAGCTGAGTCCACTGTGTGTGTGAACTGTGTTTGACTCCAGATTCCGATCCCGCTTACCCACTCACCCTGTGGCATTTGAACCTGAGGAAACGTTTCCCGCTTGTCTTCTTTTTCTGCACTCTGCTTTCATTCATTTGGTAATCTGTTTATTTAATTTGGAAAATGTGCAGAGCAGCTAACAGTGCCAGCGGTGGTCTTTGGCGTCAAATTGTTGTGGCTGTCAGCGCCCTTCTCACACTCAAGGTTAATCTTTTGTCACAAGTTGACACCACAATCTACAATGCTCATCTGTTTGTTGATGCACAACTAGGTCACACATGTACATTTCACCTATTCTCTTAACCTTTTCACTACCTGAATGTTTTCAAACCGGAAAATGACCACATCACTGATGCCTTTGTCATACAAATTCACAGAAAGTGAGATTGGGGTCTGAGGATGTCCTGTAGCTCATTTGTAAAGCCTTGTCAAAACCAAACAAAGACTTTATGTTTTCTTCGACTGTGTATCATCCTGATGAAGTTCTTTCTACAACACCGTAGTGGTGAAATTGAGCTTTTGTTTGATAGCAGCAGCGTTTCTTCTGTAGATGCCATTTTCTGCATGAACACCTCAGCACCTGTTTGCTTTGACTTGTTGTTTTCTCTGTTCTGACAATGTAAACTGATCTGGACATTCAGTCATCTTTATATGTGTTTGCAATGAGCATCAGGGCTTTTTCTCCAGGTATAAAATCAGAGTAAATGATGGTGAAGAGTCAAACCCTCCTCTGAAGTGAAGGGGAAAATTATTCAATGTGATTGGACCAGCAGTAGATTGAGCAGCAAGCTTGCTGCTGATAGGTGCGTGCACATTTTCATCTGTATAAAAGCAATCAGGTGTTTTTAAAAAGAGCTTTATATGCATCATAAGAGATATATTGAAATTTTGATGTGAAACAGAAAGTATTGGCACGTCAGTATAAATAAATGAGTCTAATAAATTATTTTAGGGAGGATGTTCAATAAATCTGTGGTGTGGCTAGCGTCTGGAGATATGCAAACTTTGTCACCTTTATTATAAAATACTGGGTTCGACAGCTAGGTTTCATGCTCTTACTAAGCCCCCGTACTGAGTGAAGAATTTGCAGCATTTCTGAAACAGCTTGTTTAGTTGCTCTTGTGACAGTCTTTCAGAAATAAGAACATGTTCAGAAGCAGAGAGAATTTTTCATAAACTGTTCTCTTTTACATGAATTTGGCAGCTGTCTTTGATAGTGGCTGAGGTAAACTTTTTGTATCATATTTTATGTCAGAAATTGAAGGAAAAAAATTGCAAAAAAAGCCAAGAATTTCAGGGCCAGTAAACTTCAGGATACAAATGAAAAGAGAACCCTGCTCGATGAAATCTCAGCTGATGGTGTTCGAATTCAATCTGAAGACAGAGAAAATACAGTTTGCAAAACCTGAAGCACTAACAACAGATAAAATACAGTTTTAACCTTTCTAAAATCTGTAATGTGTCTATGAGGATCATGAAGGAATCACTTTATTATTCACATTTCTCTATTTTAATAACTTGGAGTCATTGTATTTCTGTTCAATAATTCATGAGATGTTGCTGAACTATCATATTTGCCCAGAGCTTTGGAGCAATCTGTGTCATGTCCTAAAGTCTCCAACATAAAAGTGTGCTGCTTAATCTCTCTATTATCAAGAACACTGAGAAATCATTTTTCTTAAAGCAAAGGTTCGGAACTGCAGCAATAAAATCCCTTCAAGGTTATAGACACACAGTAAACAACACACTGTTGTTGTTGACTGTTTTGTGTATTTCCAGAGTCCTTTGTAGGCCTACAAAGACAAAGTGACACATGACAGAGCGGAGTGTTTAGATCTTGGTTCGTGCTTGAACCTTTTGTACAGTAAGAGGCTGAGAAAGTGATGCAGCCGTTTTCATATGAAAGAGCAAGTTCTGATTGAGTTAACCTCCTGCCTGTTTGCTTAGCACAGTGAGACAACCCCTCACATGACTGAATGAAATCACTGCAGCTTTTGATCGATCACAGTCCACACTCATTACCTGGAGGCTTACCTTTTAATGTGAGTGTGTGTGTGTGTGTGTGTGTGTGTGTGTGTGTGTGTGTGTGTGTGTGTGTGTGTGTGTGTGTGTGTGTGTGTGTAAGAAAGAGAGAGAGAGAGAGAGAGAGAGAGAAAGAGAGAGAGAGAGAGAGAGAGAGAAAGAGAAAGAGAGAGCATGCCTGCACATAAGCTACCATACATCCTACCAAAGGGGGAGGAGCAACTGGTTTGGGAATGACACACACTTTGCTACTTTTGATTTGTGAGCGAAAATGTCAGCCAAAAGCAATCAACATAATCTATAAAAGCACACAGTCGTATGGCTCATGATGCAGTGTTGCCCCTGTGTTAAGACCATCGATTATTTCTGTTCTGTGATCTCAGGCTTTTTTGCACTGAGTGGCAGTATCGTGAATAACCACGGGTCCGTTTTCTTTTCAATGTCACACTAACAGAAAAAGTTTTTTGTAAAGCCAAACTCACGGGAGATGTTGCACTCTACTTCTTTGGTTGATATTCACAGATGCTAGTCAAAGAAAAATAATTGCACTATAAAAGCAGCTGCCAAAGTGTTTTTCCTTCCTTTATATTTTTTATATAATCATACATAAATTTCATGATTCCACGTTATGTGATATCTGTCCCTAAAGGCCGATCCTCTCCTCTCTCCAGGTGAAGGTGTGGTTCCAGAACCGGCGCACTAAGCAGAAAAAGGACCAGGGGAAGGACTCTGAGCTGCGTTCTGTTGTTTCAGAAACAGCAGCGACCTGCAGTGTCCTCAGACTGTTGGAGCAGGGTCGCCTGCTGACTCCTCCAGGCCTGCCGGGCCTACTGCCACACTGTGGCAGTGGCACGCTGGGCTCAGCCCTGCGCCCTCCCTCCATGGCCATGGCCAGCAATGGCAGCAGTAGCAGCAGCAGCAATGGGGGCAGCACCGGCACGGCAGGCGGCAGCCCTCCTCTGCCTGCTGTCACCAGCTCAGGGACGGTGTCAGGCCTGCAGACCTCACCGGCGGCCCACGGTCTCTTTACTTTCCCTATGCCCTCCTTACTCAGCGGTGTTGCCACACGCATTTCCTCCAACCCACTGACCATGGCCAGTTCCCTTGCAGGAAACCTGCAGGAACTCTCTGCCCGCTACCTGAGCTCCTCTGCTTTTGAGCCTTACTCCCGGACCAATGGCAAAGAATCCATGGACAAGAAAATTCTCGAATGATGGCATTTTTTCATCAGTGGAAAAACTGTTTCTTGAAGAAATATTTTGTTTGATTTCTGGTCTTTCTCTGTCTTTGTTTTGTTTCGCCTGTTCTCTGTCATCATGTCTGTGTCATGTTTTGTAGCAGTTCATGTATTCTGGTTGCACATCTGGCGCCTTGTACAAGAAAGAAAACAAAGACCTACAAAAGCTCATCTAACAAAGACAGGGGTGTGTGCATGTTTGTGTGTGTGGCTATGTGGTGTTGAGGGGGGTGGAGAGATTTTGCACAAAATGTTCATGTAGGATTTTGTTGCTCTGAGGAGACTATCGTTCAGGTTTCTGTTCAATGTTTCGTCTTATTGGTGACTCCACTATCAACCCACAAGAGGGTGAAGCTTCCTTAGACCAAGAAAAGCTCAGTTCGTGTAATTTACTGGTGCATTTTAATTATGACAGGAAGATTTAGAGAGAGGGCAGAAAGCACGAGTTGATGGTATCTGTTTGAATTGTGTTCACTAGTTTGTTTGTAATATGACTGTCACTGCAGTTAGTAGATTTAGAGAAAGTTATCAGCTCTCAGTGAGATCCAATCAGCAAACCCCTCCAAATTAAGAAATCAAGTTTCATGCAGCATTATGAACTGAATTTCTAAAGGGAGAATGAGAACAAGGGGAGAAAAGGTGCCTGTGTTTGAAGGTCACTGTGAAGCCAGTGTTGGCACAGGAACTAACAGTTCTGAGGTCTTCTCTCAGTTGGTCTCACACATTGACCAAAACATAATCCAGGAGTAGGAGGTGCTGTCACTCAGTTTGACAGTTTATTGTTCAGTGTTGCTTTCTGTTTAAGTGGGAATATTTAAGGTTTACTAACAGTTGTTCACTTTTTGGCTTTCTTTGGTCCAGAATACAGAACCCAATGGATTTTTTGTCTGTGATTTGAATATCACTGTGAGTCCTTTGAGTTTGAGTGTACAGTCTGTATTACAGCCAAGCACAGAACTGAATTTGTAGAGTGGGGGGAGTTTGTAAGAAAAGCTTTTCCACTTTACTAAACCGTCTTCTTTGCTGGACACTACAAGGTAACAGATTTTGAGTTATCAAGGTGATATAATAATTTTTCCTCCGGTGTGACATTTTCAGACATCCACGACCTTCATAAAAAATTTTTAGGGAGACTGATGCATGTGGAGGCTGAATGGAATTGCTGTAGTATAAAAGTACTGAAATTGAAAATGTACCTTAAATTGTTATTTTATTGTAAATTATTCACTAATGTAATCAATAGATTATTAGTCTATCTGAATAATAATGAATGAATGTATTAGCAGGTTGGGGAGTTAATCAAAAGCTCTTTGGTGCTGTTGTTGTGAAATATCTTGAAATTTGTGAAACGTGTGGTACAAATGTGGATATATATTATGTATATGGCTCCAGACAAAGACAAGTGTGTTTTTCATTTTCTTTCATACATGTTGCTATGAAACAAGTTGTGATAAATTTCATGACTGTTATACCTCAAACAGCTCGGCCTTATTTGTGTAAACCTCAAGATCTTCATTCTGTCTGAGATGATAAAGTCCAATAATAACATTGTTTAATATATATATATATATATATATATATATATATATATATATATATATATATATACACACATATATGTAAACTGTTAAATTAGCCCAATGAAAGACTGCAGTAAGAGGTTTAAAATGACAATGTGATTGAGGGGGTATTGTGCTGCAGCTTTAAGTCTAAAACCTCCCAAAATATTGTAATACGCTGCTATTCTTAACACTGAAAAAGCCAAAATGTAAGAAAACAAAACTTAAAGCTGAAACACTATTTGACTACGATTAATACCAACTGTCATCATCATTCTTATTATTATTTGAATTATCCATATATATATATTTTTATTTCTCTTAAAACTTTACAGCTTTGCAAAGAGACACTTGCAAACCTATAAAATATTTTACTTCTCCATAATATCCAATCATGATTAGTGTTTGATTTATTCTGGAGAAACTCCACATTGAGGAGATTTTTAGCTGATCCTAACTGAGCCGCTACAAAGTTATTATTCTAAGATCATTAATAACCCTTTTTCTTCATCGTGCTCAGGACTTGTAATGTCATTGTCACTGTGTCATTGTTCAGTTGCCCCCCGCCCCCCCAATAAATAAATAAATAAACAACAGTGGCCATTCACTGAACAGCACTACTCTTAATTGATGTTAGTGTTAGATCTCATGTCTGATTGTCTCCTAAATCTCCTAAAATGGCCTCAACATTATTCAGTATAACTCATGTTATTATGGAATTAATCCTTATTCTCAGAGAAAAGCTTAAGCCTTTTGAGACAGTATTCTCCAAATGTTTAAGTTTTTATGACGGTGAACTGGAAAAAAAAAAAAAAAACGAAACAAGAATGTTTCACTAGGTCCTTCAAGAGAGTCAAGTGAAAGCGAACAATCACACCTGAAATGCCTTCAAAAAGATCCCTTGACTTCGGTCTCCATGCTGATAACAGCTGGAATACATATATCACACTTTCAAGTAATAATAAAGTAATAATCATAATAACAATAATAAGTACTACTTTTTTTTAATAATATCATTCTGTTGACACCTTCCTCTAATAATATAAAAGTCATTTTTTCTCATTTATTTCCAACAGACCCCCCCCCCCCAAAAAAAAAAAAATAATAATGATATATAAATATATATATATATATATATATATATATATATATATATATATATATATATAATAACAAAAGATCACACAGGACATTTTTTTTTTTTTTTTTTGGGGGGGGGGACTACTAACGAACCATTTACCTATTTCTACCAGTGTTTTTATCACGTAAAACCCCTACTATATCTCCATTCTTAATATAGCTATCAAATGGTTTCCAAATTTTCTTCATAATGTGCCAATTTGTTTTTCAGGGTTTATGTTACTTTTTTTTGATGACATACATTGTGCCATGTTCTTGATCCAAGCTCCAATAGTAGGTGCATCACTTTTAATAAGTACCACTTTGTTCATGTCAAAGGGGGGATCGTACTTATTATCAGGCTTTTAATTGTCCCTATAGATATGCTAGTAGCATAGCTAGCTATCAGCTATCCATCAGTAGCATAGCTATCAGACAACTATGCTGGTAGCATTGCTACCTGTAACTTAATAACAAAAGTAACTTATCTCAGATTGGCATCGTTGCAAACCCTGGTTTCAGGCTCTGTCTGGCATGCCTCATTTCTTTAAGCATTTAAGATCCCAGCCCACTAGTAGGGGCATTTGTTTTGGACCTCCAATCTGATTCTATATATTTGGAGATAGACAAAAAAATATTCCCAACAACAAAGATCAGGTAAGTGTTTCACTTCTGATGCTCTTTCAGGGAAAATTCATCAACTAGTGATGTCACAAATTGGGCAAATCTCATGTTGTTTTTGTTTAGTGGCTGCTTGAACATGCTGTTGAGAGCAGCCTGCAGTATCATCCTGGGATGACTCCATCACATTTCAAACTTTGCCTGTGTTCAGTGGTTTAACATACCACACTGTGAATAGTGTTTATTAGTAAAATATAAAATATGCACGACACCACCTCTACACTCCTGTTTCTATGGTCCAAACTGAACTTTGGCTCTCACCCTCCCTCCAATTTTGAAATCCTACAAACATCTAACAAACACCCTTTGAGTATGTGTACTCTTACCTGCATTGAGCGAAGAGGTTGTATCAGGAAAATTCAGACAAGCCTGATGACGTGCCTGATGTGCAGCAGGACAGCTGACAAAAACATTTCTACACACAGGGGAGACGTTTTTGCAAAAACAACAAACCAAAACCCTGAATATAGAGTAATTTGATAATTAAGTGATAAATTATGAGAGTTACAGTAGTCCTCATCAGCAGATAAGGATACAAGCAGAAGAGCTGATGCAGAAGTGTACCACGGTGTATAACAGTGTGTATCTATATCGCTGGAACTGGAAGTGCCATAGTCAAGCATAATTTTGGCTACTTCATATTCAATTTATGCTACTTAACTTCACTGTCCGAGGCAAATATTGTGCTTTTCATTTATTACAATTAACCGGGAACTATGCTTAATTTTGCAAATTAGAGTTTTATACATAGAACATATGCACAATCAGCTGAAAAAACACATTTATTTCAAGATTTAACTACCCTATAGTATTCAAAGTGGGCAAATTGGTTTATGTTTGAGGATTGATCATTGCTACTGCTGTAAAAAAAGGAATTAGATTAACAGAAATATCAGTAGTGCAGAAAGAACAAGAGGGATCTGAGCTTCTGCCAAAATATCCTTGGTAAAGAGGGTACTTTGGCAGAGAGTTTGAAAAGATACTCCCAAAACTTCAAGGTTGTTTGTAATAATATCATTGTTATCAATTTATGGCCTACTCTGAGTTTAGTTCTTCACTTTTGTGCAATCACAGTCTGATAGTTGGAACTGTTTAGTAATGGTGAAAATGGAGGCTTTTCTGTGAGCATACCCAAAGAAACCAAACCTCCCCACTGTGTCTTGGGAATCTCTGCAGAGGAAAAAAGGGTCACATTTACGCCTCCTGCCCCTGCTCCACCCCCCACAGCTGCCCCTACCCATTCTCTCCCTGTACCCTTAGTCCAATTAGAAGGAAGGTCAGAGAGGTTTTTGTAAGTGAGGGGTTTGGGTGTGTGTGTGTGTGTGTGTGTGTGTGTGTGTGTGTGTGTGTGTGTGTGTGTGTGTGTGTGTGTGCAGGACTGTCATAGATGCAGACCACCAACACATTTTCTCCCATCACATGGTCCACTCTTTAAGCTCAGGTCTTAGGAGGTGAAAGAAAGGCTACATCCTGTCCTGTCTTTAGTGAGTTTTCGGACTTGTCCTTATTGTGCCATATGGTAGATCCGGGATTAATGTGCTAACAAGTCCCAGTAAACAGTAAAGACATAACCTTCTGCTACTGTAGCACACTCATTTGCCAACTTACAACTCTGCCGTGCTACAACTCTGCAGGATTCCCCTCTCAGCATTCTGGGCTGGTATAAAGTCAGCACTGCTTAGTAACTCTGCTTCATCAAAGAATAATTAATACCATTAAGTAATCAAAGCAGTGAGGGGAGCAAAAACGCCCTCAAAAGCAAGGGTTCCACTTGTGTATTCTGTAAAACACTTTGCATAAGGCTCTGAAATAACCATCATTTCAAAATGTGTGGATGTTTAATTAAAGTGCAGCGCCCTTGCTTCTGTATTGTTGTGACGCACAGTTTGCTGTGCAAACCAAATGTTTTACTGTAGCTTTTAAATTTTTTTCAAAGCTTTCAGGAACTGAACTGGAGAAACAGAGAAATTCAAGTACATGACTTAATGGGCTCTAAAATTATCTAAAGACAAGCTCGTCATTTGTGCATGCCAGTAAAATTAGAAGAGTGATTGTCATTTAGCCTTGTGTCTATTTGGCCTGAGATTTTAAATAAAACCCAGAAAGCAAGACTATTAGTATGTTGTCAGTTGTTGAGTGACTTTGTACAACATAAAATAAGCAGTTATTTGTTCTGACAATGATTGAAAATTGCATCTTTGCAGATTTGTGGTCAGTATAAGCTGAAGCTTATTGTTTTATTTCAGGTCCTATTTATACTGTTGCAGCACAGGCTCAAAGCTCTTACCTTGTTTTTTTGGCCACAATGTGCAGCTGAAAAAAAGCTTTTTTTTTCCTTGTCAAAACAAGCCACGTAGCCATATTTTTTCTCTTTTGGCACTGATGGTGATCAAAATAGAGCCTAAAGGCCTTGAAGTCTATAACCATCAGATGGTTGAAACCAGAACCTCCATTATACAATACATGGATTCAAATCGTGTGGGATATTTATCAAATGGAGCAGATCACATTTGCCCTAAGGCTCCAGAAAGCCACCTTCACTAAAAGATGGGAACCTGTACTACCTTTGTTGCTGCAATGACAATATTAATTATGTAAAACCCTTCTGTTGTATATCAAAATGCCGTCATCCTGCCTCTGATTGACATTTGTACCAGTAATTGTTTTTGTTTTTTATTTCCACCTTCTATTGCCTGTGGATGTTTGTAAAAAACACTTACAGCTGAGGAAGAGGAAAGGAAACATAATTGTTTTGAAATGTATATATTGTACTGTACTGTAAAAAAAAAAGAAAGAAAGAAAGAAATAATAAAAACTAAGTTAAAAAAAAATAGAGCCTAAAGAAGAGCACACCTTCAGAAAGTCATCAGGCAAACAACAAAGATTAATTTGAGCCCACAGGTAAGCAAATGCTGAGATGACAATGGAAAGATGGAAATTAAATGTGATAATAATAACCTTTTATTAAAGTTTCCTGACAACTGCAGCTTTGACTTAATAATGCAAGGCAAATGTAAGAGCATATTTATCTGTTTAAATACACTATTTTCCAGTACAATGTAGTCCAATATTTGCCATGTTAATACAGTTAGAATCCACTTGAGGCTGGCTTCATAAACCTGAGA